TTCAGCTTACGACCATATCACGTTGAGAACACCGGTTCTCGTCTGATCACCGAAGTTAAGCAACGTCGAGCCGAGTCAGTACTTGGGAGGGTGACCACTTGGGAACACTCGGTGTCGTAAGCTTTCCTTTTTATTTTTATTTTTTTCTTTTAATTTTTAAAAAATTTAAAAGTTTTTGCACCGTACATTAAAATTTTAAAAAACGAAACAATCAATTCAGGATAAATCTGGATCGATCTGGATCTTTATCCCTGTTTCAATGTTTATTGATTGAATTATTTACAAAAGAGAAAAAAACAAAATATTTTCGACTTTGACATTTGACATTGTAGACTTTGTTCTTTCTTAAAGAAAAGATAATCGTATAGTTTGTTTTTTACCAAAATTGGATACGAAAAAATTATTTTTGAAATTGAAATTTTTTTCTTTAAATTAAATCATCTTCGAGAATATTCGACAGAAGTACTTCTAGATTATCTAATCATGATGAAATGAAAGTAAAAACATCACCTCATTTATTTTAAATAAACGCAACAACAACCACAACAACAACAAAATCAATCATTTTATGATTATGACGGTAGCGAAAACCGGATTCCTTTTATCTTTAAGATAATCATCGTTTAAATATGTTTATCTGAATATAAATACATTGCCAAAAAAAATAATGATGATGATTTTTCTTTTCTTTTAACCATTGCCATTGCTCATTTCTTCGTTATTTTGCTTGAATATCTAATTCATTTTTTCTTTTGGTAACCTCTCAACAAAAAAAAACAGGATCACGCCATTTGAACGTGTTGAAAGACAAATTGTAAGCTGGTTAAGAACAAAAATACAAAAATCCCATTCAACTGAAACAATATTACATTTTGTTTGTTTATTTTGAATTGAAAAAAAACAATTTCAAATTTATTCTTTTCGTTTCGTTTTGTTTCGTTATCAATATTGATAATCGATATTTTTTTTCTTGCTTTGATTTTTGATTTTAGTTTGAAAATTCAAAATAAAATTTTGAAATAATGTTCAAAACAAGTTTCAAATTCCAATGAAATGTTTTCCACTTTTTTTTTGCATTTCATAATATTACGTCATTTGAATTTCGATTTAAATTTTATAAAAATAAATTTCTGACAAAATCTTGATCCATAATTTTGTCAATTTTTTTAAAAAATCAAAATATAGCCTGAAAATTCTACAATTTACTTTATTCACAATTCAAAATTACGGATCAATGTCCGTCATGTGATTGAATTGCTTTTATTATTAAAAGAAAAATAAAAATCATCAATGAGAAAAAGATTAGTAACCATTATGAATTTGGGTTTTTTTGGGTTGTTATCCCATCCATCAAAAATTTTCAACAATATGGTTGGTTCGAAATCTGGTAATTATTTTTCTTTTTTTAAAAAAATCCAGATTTTTTTCTGGTTTTTCCATTCATTCATTATATTTCTACTAACCAAACAAATTTTTTCCGATTTGATCAATATTGTTGTTGTTGTTGTTGTTGTTTTTGTTTATTTTTTTTTGTTTCACTGGAAAAATGACGGGAAAAAACATTTAAAAATGATGATAATGAAAAACAAAATGAAATAAAGAAATCTTTCAAATATGCACGTAATCGAATTGATTATCATTAGATATGTACAATACCTATCATAGTTGATCGATCATTCATCCGATCGATTATTACCTCATTATCGTACGAAAAAAAAATTTGTAAATTATCTAATCACACCAATTTCAATATAAATGTCATTTGCATTTGTTTTTCATTCTCAAAAAAATAATAATAATATCTATTTATAAATCAGTTTTACATTCATGAGACAAAAAAAAACATCTAATAATAATTTCAATGTCATGACAAAAATTATCTTATTCATATCTCAAATCTATAGGTTCATCGATTACCGGAAAATAATTTTTTGTTTTTTTACTTTTTATCAAATGATTTGTTTGTTTGTTTGTCAATATGGGGAAAAACATTCTATTTTTTTTTTGTTTGAAGAAACAAAAAAAAATTCAGCGATGAAAGAGGCGAAAAAATATCCAGATAATTTTAGAAAAAAAGAACCAAAAAAAAACCAAATAGATCCGATTCGATCGAGAAAAATCAAGAATGTTAACCAATCATCGATATCCATTATAACAATTTTTCGGAATTTAGTTGTCGTCTTTATCAGAAAAAAACAACAAAATTTAAATTTTTTTTGTTATTGCCAGTTTTTCATCAATGTCAACAATTGGATAAGATATATGCTTACGATGTATGTTTGCTTGCAAACAAACATCAATTTAAATGTCAAATCTGTATTTTACTTTTTTACCTAAATAACAAATCATTTTAATAATGTTCGTTGAAAATATAAAACCAAAAAAAAGCAACTAAGGTAATGAATTATTTAAGGTTCGCGAAAATACGATGCTAATCTCGAATTATCCAGGCATCGATTTAAAAAAAAATAAAAACAGAAATCAAATGTGAAAAAAAAACAGATCTGCCTCTTTTTTTCTTATCAATGGTGCGATTTTTTTCCTTCTTCTTATTATTATCTGCCACATCGGCGATGATCAACATCCATCCTTTGTCGTCATCAATAATGATCATTGGTCGATATGAATTCGACATCGGGACATTGATTGATTGACAAAAGCTTTTAGCTTTTTCATGATAATTTAGTATATAAGGCACTTGTCTTTTACATGGATTGGTCTGTCAACTAATGCTTGATGAATAAAGATTAATTTTTAAAACGAAAAGATAATTATTTGCTCCCTCTTTTTTTTCTCGTGTCTATACAAAGCGATAACTTTCTTGAATTCTGAAGAATTTCAATTTTTCTTTTTCGTACAAAAAAAACCATCATTAAAACAACAACAATACAACGATGAAGGTTAATGTTCAAAGCCCAAATATTCGTTATACGGATGAAACAATCGAAGCAGATTATGAATATGATAATGTCAAATGTATTCGAGATGAAAAAACCAATTCAGTTAAGGTTAGTTACAATAATCATATTCAAAATCAATTCAATAATTGAAATGTAAATCTGGATTTTAATTAAATTAAATTAGGTTTATCCAATGAGATCGGTTGTAACATTTCGTACAGAACGTCGAATACCACGTACAGGTTTAATGATGATCGGTTGGGGTGGCAATAATGGTACAACAGTAACAGCCGCTATAATTGCCAACAAACATCGTATGTCATTCATGACAAAAGATGGTGAAGTGAAAGCCAATTATTTTGGAAGTTTAACACAATCCAGTACGATATTCTTGGGTTATGATGCCCATGGTAAAGAATTATACATACCTATGAAAGATACATTACCAATGGTTGATCCAAATGATCTATTCGTTGATGGTTGGGATATATCCGGTATGAATCTTGCTGATTCAATGAAACGAGCAAAAGTTCTTGATATCAATCTACAAGAACAACTTCGTCCATACATGGAACAATATCGACCACGTCGAGCTATATATGATTTTGATTTTATTGCAGCCAATCAAAAAGAACGTGCTGATAATGTAATTGAATGTAATGATAAATGGTCACAAGTGGAACAGATTCGTGCAGATATACGTGATTTTAAACAAAAAAATAATCTTGATACAGTCATTATATTATGGACAGCTAATACTGAACGTTTTTCTAATGTTATCGATGGCATTCATGATACAGCTGATAATTTATTAGCAGCAATCAAACGCAATGAAAAAGAATTGGCACCATCAGCTTTATATGCTGTTGCAGCTATACTTGAAAAAGTAATTTTTCTTGAATTTCAATTTGTTAATTTTGCTAATTCAATTTTTTTTAAAAATCTAATTCTTAAATCATTTATAGTCTACTTACATCAATGGTTCACCACAGAATACATTCGTACCTGGTCTCGTTGAATTAGCCGAACGTGAACAAGTGTTTATCGGTGGTGATGATTTCAAATCCGGACAGACAAAATTTAAATCCGTACTTGTTGATTTCCTTGTTTCCGCCGGTATTAAACCATGTTCAATCGCTAGCTATAATCATTTGGGTAATAATGATGGCTATAATCTATCGGCACCGAAACAATTTCGCAGTAAAGAAATTTCCAAATCAAATGTTGTCGATGATATGGTCGAATCGAATCAGATACTTTATGGCCAAGGTAAAAATCACCCTGATCATACAGTTGTTATTAAATATGTACCGTATGTGGGAGATTCGAAACGTGCATTGGATGAATACATCAGTGAATTAATGTTAGGTGGAAAGAATACAATTGTCGTACATAATACCTGTGAAGATTCGTTATTAGCAGCGCCAATTATTTTGGATTTGGCCATTCTTTCCGAACTATGTCAACGTGTTACATTTAAGATACATAATCATAGTAAGTTGGAATTGTTTGTTTGAAACAAAACAAAAACATTTAATTTTTTTATTATATTTAAAACAGAGGAAACACAATTTCAACGTTTCAATTCGATTCTATCCATACTATCCTATCTGCTTAAAGCACCAATGGTCGAACGTGGTGCAAATGTTGTCAATGCATTATCCAAACAACGTCAATCAATCGAAAATTTATTACGTGCATTGATTGCTTTACCACCTGTTAATCAATTAAATTTACAGGCCAAATGTTCAAATCGTACACAATGGTATGAAGAATTAACACAACCAATCCTTAAAAATGATGAAGTAAATCCAACACGAATTGCGCCACCATTCAATGGTTTTATGAGTGGACATTAAGCAGCAGCCTAATCTACAGCAGCCAATTTATACATTCTACATCAAACAACAAACAAAAGACAAAAATATTGATTTCCTTTCTTCCATCTTTTATAACTTCCTCACTTTCCCTTTCTCTGGTTAAGATTATTATTTTTACAATAATATTAAATCAATCAATTTGTTAATTATTTATTTGTGTTTTCATTTTGTTTTCATCATTATTTAATGATCCATTTTTAGAATGAAAAGTTAAAAATTTTTTTGTCCAGATCTATTGAATGTTAACTTCACTGCATTGAATTTATCTATGAGATAATCGATTGATTTATAATCGGAAATTTTTTTTCATGAGCACAAAAATCACTTTTTTTATTTATCAAAAATAAAGAAAGATATTCGTTCGACGAATTTTTGAAAACATTTTAGCAATTTTGTAGTCATTATTTAACAATGACTAGAACATCAATCAATCAGCGTCAATAATCCGGATGATGATGATGTTGTTGTTCATATTTTGTTGTTTTTAACCATAATGTTTGCCTTTACCTCGTCCACCACCATGTCCTCCACGATGACCACCGCCATATCCACCTCGTTTACCACCACCATGGCTAATGCGGTGGCCACCACCACCATGTTTGCGATAACCACCACCACCACCACCATGTCTACGAATACCGCCATGTCCACCACCATGACCACGGGCTGAAACCATCATCATCATGGCTGCGAATATAAGAGCGAAAATAATCTAAATTAAAAGAATCGGGAGATAGAAAAAACAATAAATAAATCAAATCACAATTCGAATCGATAAAAAACTTACAGTGAATTTCATTTTTTTTAATGATTGATTCGTTGTTTCAACAACAGTTATTTGTGCGTTGGATGATTTGTTTTCATGACAATGTTTGGCTACTGGCTTTTTATACTCTGACCGGACGTTTCAAAATTACTTTCAACAATATGCTTTCACTTTAAATATTAGAGACACTCATAAACACATACAACTAACATAGATTGTGATAGAGATAAACGATTTCTTATTTTACCGTTATTGTGGATATATGAAAAAAAGGTGGGGTTTCCACAACATCATATTCATCACTAATATCCCATTCATGAGTATTTTTTTTTGACGATCCAACGTTTTGGAACATCTAAATACATGTTGAAAAAAAGAAATATGAATATAGAGTATGGTACCATAACTAATGTAGTGGCACTGGCAATGATCATGATGATCATTGACTATGAAATTTGCCAATGTTTTGCGATGATTTGATGATGATGGATAATGATGATAATGATGAAAAGACCTCGTTGAATACATGTGATTGTCATTGAGATGAGAATGATTTTCATTTTTCTTTTTCCTTACTTTTTTTTGTTAATTTGATTTGAACTTTTAAATTCAATGATCATAATTTATAAGGATGATACCTTGGCATTGTCGCCTGTTTGGCTTTCCATTTGACAATGATCCATTAATTCATTCAGTTTTTCAAAATAATAATTGCTAAATGAATGAATCAAAATGGATGATTATAAACATCGAAAATGGCCTTTTCTATAGAGGAAATCTTTTCTTATTATTGATTGTAAGCAAATTATTCATCAAAAATTGAATTTTAAAAAAATAAATAAATAAATGACAGGAAATTGACGAATGTTCTATTCTATTCATCATTCGTATTCAAATCAAAAAAAAAACGGATTTCATCTATCACGATTTTTTCGAATCAAATCAAATCAGCATAAGATGAAATATTATCATCATTGTTGTTACAATTTTTTTTCAAATCGATTCAAATTCATTTTAAAAGATGATGATTGATAATAATCCATTTTCAGAAAATAAACAAAATATGAGCGAAATTTGTCCAAACATTTATTATTAATCGATAAAAATTGTAATAAATTTGCATTCATCATCACATAATGATGGTTTCATTGGATTTTAACAATGATGATGATAATAAGGAAATTAATTCCATTGAATTGATGAAATTTATTTTGGATTTTTTTTTTGGTCATCCATCCATTTGTGTCATTATGTGAAATTATTTATCATCAATTTGAATGATGAGAACAAAACATAAATTCTGATGAAACTTTTTTTTATGTTGTTGAAAAACCTTGTGTAGATATGATTTTTTTTTTGTTGGAAAGTTCTTGGAAAAAAAGAAAAATCCCTATCCAACAAAAATCACTTCATTTTTCGATAAATAATTATTTTCTTTTCTCCTTAATTAATTTCAATTATTTGTGAATAATGATATTCGAATGCAGTCAATATTTTAAACAACATGACAAGAATGGCGGTCAAGAAAGAAAAACAACTTTTTTTAGTTTCATATTTCACATTTAAATTGATTTCATATTAAATTTCTATCCATAATTATAATGAGAATGATCAGTTAAAAATATAATTATTTTGAATTTTACAATTACCATTACAAATTATGATCTTAACTATAAATATATATGAAAAACAAAACACCATTTCTATTTAAAAAATGGCGTCAATAAGAAAAGAAAGAAGTTATTTTTATTTTTCTTTTACTTCAAACTGATGTTGATGTTAAGGTAATTTGTGAATAAATGATGATTATGATGATAATGAACATAATACTAATAATAATAATGACCTTCGAAAAATAATCATTTCAATTTCAACGATTTTATCATTTCATCCAAAGCTAAATTGTTGCTATTGAATTTTATTTTTCCTTACATTGTATTTCGTCTGTTATCATGGATAAACGAAAATTAATACATTCGAATTCATTGCTCACACATCTTTGGTTGAATAATTTGATTATGGAAATGAAAAATCCATTTCCATTCGAATCGTATACATTAAAACAGGAAATAACAGGTGTTGTTTTTTTGTTGTTTTTTTTGTTGGTGACATACATGCAACCCTTCTACACTATAATTATGATGTTTCACACTTGAAATGTCACATTTTTTCTTTCGTTAATAATCACTTATATATTGCATAGAGATTTTCATCTCCATTTTCCTTATTCAAATGTTTCATTTGTTTTTCAGCATCATTATTATTATTTCAATGACGTTTCTAATTCAAACAAATCGAAAAGAATTTTACATTCTAATTGTTTATAGGCAAAGAGTAGAGAAAAATAACGATATGTTCCAAGGCGATCCAAAAGAACAACAACAATAATGTAAAAGATGTCGATGACCAATACTATCAACAAATGATTATCATGAACAACAAACATCGTCAAGATCACAAAGCAAAAAACATAGAGACAAATGATTATTTTACAGGGAAACAAAATAAAACGTAAAACAAATTAAAAATAAATTGAATCAAATAAAAATGGAAAAAAAGTTTTTATAAAATAAAAATATCATTGAAATTATTAGATGCGAAAAAGGTCATCAATCCGAAAGCTATGACAACAATCCTCAATGAAGAGCAGATGAATTAACCAAGTGACAAAAAAAAACATCTACATCTTGAAATTGGCCAAAAAAAACTAGTATCAATATTATTTCACGTAACCAAATTCCAATGAATTCAAAACACATTTTTAACACGAATAATTATTCTATCAATGAAAGCGATGTCAATATAATCATGATTATCGTAAAATTATCATTAGTTTTTCGTATTTATAATGATAATTTAATTAATTATAATAAGTAACAACAAATGAATCTCATCATCATCAAATATCATCATCGGCGCAATCACACTTTTTATATAGGAAAAGAAAAAGATACACGACATTACAAGTAGTATACAAGTTATTTTGTTTTTTTGTTTACATCAAACAAAAAAAAATCCATAATAATAGATTTATCATTGTTGTATATATATAACTAGAGAGATACGAAGAAAAAACCATCATCAATTTTGCATGAAGATGTGAAATTAATTAATGAAAATGATTTTTTTTCGCATATGAGATAGAAACACAAATGAAAAAAATAAAGTGAAATAAAAAGGAATTTTTTCTGTATTTTTTTTTCTTTAATTCAGTTCTTTATCTTCAAGGAATTTGTATTCGAATACAAAGTTTTCTTTTTTACGTTGGGTCCATTTTTCGAAATCAAAATAAATGTAGGTTCCCTATTTTGTATGATTGATTGTCGAAGATTAGTCGGTATGCCCCAATTAAAATATGATCATAAAAAGGAAGTGGAAAAAAATATATCGATTAGAAAAAAATCTTTGACCGATAAGTTTAATCAACATACCTGTTCATAATCATCGGTTATAAGTTTTGGTTCCTCAAGCCTTTGAAACCACATCATATATTTTGTATGAAAACGCCAGGATTTATTCTTCAACGTTTTAGCTGCCATATATTGCGCTTTTGAACCCTATATTTTTCAAATGTTGTAAATGAATGAATGAATTTTTGTTTTATCGGTTTGAATAATAGATAAAATACCTCCATATAATAAAAGATGAAAAATAATGTTTCAGGTGTTAAGCGATCATAGAATTCAATATTGTTGAATTGAGACAACGTTTGATTAGGAAAACTAGACATTTGTGAATATGTATGGAGTTGTGGTAGTTTTATATGTAATGGTCTATTATGTTTCAATTAAATTGGAAAAAATATCAATCGAAATCAATCATTAGTAATAATAAACTATTGAAACGAACCTTAATCGATACGAATCGATCGGAATAATAGGTTGACGAAACGCTGCATCAAGTAAATGCATATGAAACAATGTTTGCTTTGAAATGGTTGGCTTGTTTGGTTGACTTGACAACATTGTCGATGAATAAAAATTTTGCGATTGTGGTGGTTGATTCGGCTGTGTTTGTTGTTGTTGTTGTTGTTGATTAACAAGATTATTCAACTGATTTTGAATATTTGCATTTTTGGTCACATCGACTTGTTGCTGTGATATGTTCGATTGATTCGGCGGCTGTGGTACTGGTGGTGGTTGTTTGCTTTGTTGATTAACGATTGTTGCCATATTACTTGGAGGTGAAACAGATGAAACTGGCACATTAACTGCTTGCATTTGTCGTTGATGCATCATCAACTATCGAAAAGATTAATCATAATTAAAATAAATTACATAATAAAAAAAAATACGAACATTATTTTTCAATATATTCGCATGATTAAGATGGTCAAGATGTTGAAATGATTGTTGTTGTTGATTCGCATTCGGTTGATTCGGACCTAGATCATTCAGATGAGCAGCTGACAGTTTATTATTAAGAACGGCACTTTGTCCCCCGGCATTAGCGATCAATGCTGGAGATAATAACGCATTTGCTTGTGGCGTATCACCGCTTAATAGATCACTATCTAGACCACTAGATGCAGCATTCGTCACCGATGGTGTTAACATTCCTTGCGCTACGGCAGCTGCTGCTGCTAAACCTTTAAGATTTTCAACATTTGCTATTCCCTTATAACCATTTATTAAGTGATTATTTTGTAGCAAATATTGTTGTTGTTGAGATGTCAATTGAATTGGAGGCTGTTGTTGTTGTTGTTGAGAATTATTGGCCGAGTTTGTATTATTCGAAACGATTGCCGCAAGATTGGATGCATTCCATGGATTTGTTTGATTAGGATTCGTGTTATTACTTACAACAGCGGATGGCGCAGACGTTATCGTTGATGCGGCGGCCGCTGCTGCACTATACAATGTTACCACTGTCGATGTTGATGAATTATTGTTGTTCATTGATGATGAATCATTCGATTGCTGTACATTCGAATCATTTGTTACCGTTGTGACCGAAGATGATGTTTTTGTAGTTGACGATGATGATGATGATGATAATGATGTGCCAGAACCGGTAACTGATGAGGCAACTGCGGCGGCATACGGTGTTGTAACTATTTGTTTTTCAATGATAATTCCAATGAAATGTCATTTTAAAAAAATGAAATGACAAAATACAAAAAAATAAGAAAACAAACCTGATTGCGTTGTGGAAGTAATGTTGTTGTTGCTTAGAATAGTTTTTACAGTAGCGGTCGAACTAGACCAAACGGCTGTTGTTGCTGTAGTCTTATTATTATTATTATTAGTATTATTATTACTTGGAGACGATTGATTCGTTACGGACGTTGGTGTACTATTGTGATTTGATGTTACACTATTCGTAATGAATGAAAATTCTGTTGAATTATTACTATTAATATTGTTTGCTGATAATGGATTATTATTATTGTTGTTGTTCTGATTATTCATTGCCGATTTCGACAATGTTGATGATGTCGTTGTTGTCGTTGATGTCGCATTAGTGGAATGATGACTATTATTTTGTTGTTGTTGAAGACCAGGACTTGGTGCTGGCGATTCACTTGTAGACGATGAATTTGAATAGGCATTTTGGTTATTATTATTACTCTCTGGTAGTGAATTGCAATCAACATTTTCCATTGATACATTAGCCGTTGTCGTATTATTATTCGCCGTAGATGACGTTGTCGAATTATCATTTGTTTTTGTTGCTGATCCTTTTTCATTTTTACCTGCAGCATTACCGAGCACATTTGTCAAATCGACCACATTATTTGCTCGGAATGCTTGCATATCTTCAAGGTCTAGATCATCATAAATATATTCATTATCTTGAAATTCAGCATCTTGTGATGATTCAATATAATATTCGATATCATCTTTAATTTTTTTGATTTGATCCACTTCGACCGTTTCATTATCTAACATTCGCATTAATGTTTCCAGTTGTTTTATATGATAACGATGTTTTTCCACACGATTCTTGACGAAATCATGCCGTTCCTGTTTTTCGCGATCTTTTTTACCTTTTTTCTGTGTTGTTTGTAGATTTTCTAGCTCACTTTCAAATAATTCTACTTGTTCGGATAACTTTTCAATCGAATTCGATAGCCAATTAGTGATGTCATCTTTTTCTTTTTGTGCCGGATCTAATTTCTGTGCTGCACCTAATCCTTCTTTTGAATAGGCTTTAGTTTTGGTTTCACGTTCAACCACTTTAAAACGTTCCATTTGCATTTCGATTAATCGCCGATAATTACTTAGTTCTCTTTTATCTTTAACCTCGCTGGATGCTAACCATGTTTTTATTTGATCACGTTGTCTCTATAAAATTTCATATTTTTATCATTTGAATTAAATATCAACAAAAATTAATCAAATATCATTTAACTTTATCAATCGTAAATACCTGTAATTTTTTAATCTCTTTTTTGAGATCAGCTTCATATTTTTCTTTTTGATTAGCATTGGTTGCATTATGAACTTTAACCCATATCTCATCAAATGTTTCAACACCTTCATTTACTTTTTTCAAACATCTATCAATTTCAGCTATAAAATTTTTCATAATAAAAATGAATGAAATAAATGTTTATTGAAAAAAAATTAACAAATACCTAGTAATTTTCTTCTATCTGCCATTATGATTATATAATAAATATGGCTGTCGTTCCTGTTGTTTATTATGATAAAAATGGTGACAATGATGGTGATTATGATGGAATTGATTATGATGATTCCAATGATGCATTGAATTTGATGATAATCGTAAATATACGACAATCAAATGTTGACTGATGATTTATGTTTTTTCTTTTCGCCAACTATTTTGACAATTCCGAAAATAAAAACAAAAGATAAAAATTATTAATGAATATTAAAAGATTAAATGGAAACCATCTTATTTTTAAAAAATTCGAATATGAATGACAACACTGAATCGATGATGGTAATTTGATTCGATTATTAATGACGAAAAGATCAGAAGAATCGCTCATCGTTGGACAAATTTATTGTCTGAAATAGCATGTGGAGAATGTTTTAAATGATGACAATTTTTTCCAACAGTAAAAAATGGAAAACAACAATTTTTATTGAAGTTTATGTTGAATAATATCTGCATTTCAGTTATTGTATGTCAGCTTCAATCCGAAATGAATGCTACTATTCATTGGTTTATGCATGGAAAAAAATCGAAATACATACATTACAAACAAACAAATGAATTAATCAATTCATTAAAAAAATATATCCAACGTTTGGCGCGTTTAGTTCGTATTGATTTGGAAAACAATAACAAAAACAATGTTGACAATTTTCCGATACCAACAAAGATAAACTATTGAAAAATTTAATATTCAAATTTTCGTTTTAAAATTATTTTTTTTGTTTCAGAAAAAATTCTAACATCAAAAAAATGGATATATTTTTTTTTTGTTCAATGAAAATCGTGATAATCATCATCAGCATCATACACACAATGTAAAGCATTAGTTATGTGTTGTCGCTCGAACAGAAGCAGCAGCAGCATTTATAGAAGCAGACTGCTATCACAGAAAGACTATACTCATTGCTTACAAATATCTCATCACACAGTCTTTGTGTTCATCAAATTCGACCATTCTAACACAATTTGATTTTATTATGTTAAAATAGATTAATCAATGCGTGCATGTTTTCTTAATATTTCATTTATTTTATTTTTTTCATTCGGAAAATGATTTGAATTTTTTGAGGAAAAAAAACGCGCGCGTTATTAGAAAATGATTTAATAAAACGAACAAAATAGATATGATAATAATGACAACAAAGTCATTGATAATTTTATTTCAAAATGGAAAAAAATTATTTAATGAAATGACAAAACGAAAGAAATGATCAGATTATGAATTTGGAATAAAATTGCAAATCTGAATCAAAAAAAAATATGCCTAACAAAAATAATTTTGATCATAAATCAGTTTATGATCAAACAATAATAATAATGACTATATATAATTTACAAAGAATGATATCAGATGATGACAAGTGATTACAGTGATTAGGATGAAGTTGGCAAAAAAAAAGAGAAAAAAAATGACAATTTAAATTTGAAAATGAATAGAATAAGAGACAGTTGAGAACAGCAAGACGAATGGAAGAGAAATTTGATTGATCTAATTCTTCGATAGAATTAAATCAATCATAATATCGCAAAAAGAAAAAAAAATCAACAATAAAAATTCAACAATAAAAATTTGATGAAAAATATTTAGCAAGATATTGTGTGAATGTAAGTTTGCAGCAATTATTGAGAAAGATTCATAGTAGATTCATATAAAAAATATTATAATGTAGGTGTGTGTGTGTATGTTAGCAAGAATAAAACGGTATTCGTCAATTCATTTCAAATAAATATGATGATGACGACCAAGATTGAAATTTATTTCTTTTCTGTATATTTCTGATGAGATTTTCAATATGGCAACATGTTCCAGACTATCAAAGATTTAGAGAGGAAAAATTGAATTTGATGATTGATTAAAAAATTACAATAAATGAATGATAAAATTCTTCTAATTTTTCACATCATTATCGGCACTTTTTTCTGCAACTGTTCTAACAAGTTGTCATTTGAGCACGAGATAAATGGCCAGTATCACCAACCGTATAGACAGTAACACGTCCACTTGGTTTGATAGCAACCCATGTCATACTACAATTATAAAGAGAAAATCTTAACCATCCTTCGGGTGGAAATTGTAATGCACGACAAACAAAATAACGGATCACATTTCCATGACAAACAAGTATATCATAGCTATCTTGTTTTTGTGATGGATCAGCACGATGAAAATATTTTCGAAATGCACTTTCAATACGGGCACCATCCTGGAAAAACTGCTACGAAATTGAATTTGTGATTCGGTCGATTGTTAATATAAAAAAATTAAAAAAAGTAAGAATTAGAAATTGAAAAATTTAAATTCAAAATCAATTTATTTAGTAAAAGACAAAAATAAAAGAAAAAATTATCTTCATTCAATGACAAATGAAGCCAGTGGCGAGGACATTATAAATGTGTAAACAACATCAACCATCGATTACTGAAACTATCAATCTAGACAAAATAAACAGGAAAACAAAACAATTTTTTTCGTGTTTGTCACCAAATAAAATAAGATAAAACCAAGAAAAAGAGTAAATTTTTTTTTGACACTAATAATTTCGCAATGTCAAAATCGAATGGATTTTGATCGATTATAATCAGGAAAAGTTTTTTCTTCTCTAATGGAAAAAATTTTTATCTTATCTAATGTCTAAAATAGAGCAACAAAATAAAGTCCTCAACATTATGGTAATAGCCTGGATAAAAGATATAAACTAACGATGATTATTGATCAGAAAATCATTTAGAAAACATCGAAATCTCGAATTTGGCTAAAGTCGAGACTCAATTCTGAAATTAAAAAAAAATAATGACGAAAGCGATTTCCAATCAATCCATTAAGGATTAGATAATCGATATATAATTATAATTAATGATTTATTCATGTTGAATATATCATAGACAAACACAGTAACCACATTCATTCGATCATCACGAGATTTTCAAATACAGTTGCATTGGAAATAATCATGTTTGAACGAATGGGAAAATTAACAGAAGATAATTTCATCATATACAAGAACTATAAGGACTATAAAGAACAAGCAAAAGATATCATATCCAGTTAGATATATCCCATTTTAAGATAAACAAAAAAAAAAGAAGAGAAACAGAAACAACCTAAATGTAGAGTAAGGAGTTGAAAAATAAATCAAAATAATAGAAACAAGCGTGGGAAATCAGAGAATGGTATCGTTATTATATTCAAAACAACAAAATGCGTATCAATTATCATAGTGAATATTTATTCTTTTTTCTCTCTTGTTTAAGAAAAATTAAATAACCCAGTAAGAATTGGTTTAACACCTATAAAAGAATTTTGTTTTTTCATACTGGAATGAAAAGAAATGAAGAAACTAAAAAAAATCCCAATTCTTCGTGAAAGGCCTTGACGATCTAAGAATATAATAATTGGAAAAAATGCCACTACTAATAATAGAAGAATCGTATGGATATAAAAAGTTTAAAATGTCAAATATAAAAATATTTAATATAAAAATTTCTGTTAAAAAAAACTTTTTTTTGTTGTTGGAAAACTATTCGACCGAAAATCGGAAATTTTCGGCATACAAATATCTAGGCTAGAAAAAAAGAATAATTGCATTGTCACCAAAAATGAAAATGCCAAATGTTGAGGAAAAAGCTTAAAAACGATAGAATCACATAGGAATAAAAGTGTACAAGAATATTATAATTATTTGTCATACCTTTGGTTCAGGTTTCCAACTGGAACTTGGTGGCTCCGGTACAATCGGTGAACCTTCACGAATGAAATCACATGCACTAATCGGTAAATCGGGCAGATGTGTGTGTATAATATCGGCCGTTTCGGTCGCACGTGTCATTGTAGATTTAATAATACGTGTGTAAGGTAGGCCTAATTCTTTTAATCGTTCACCAATACGATTAGCCTGATCACGTCCTAATGATGTTAGCTGCCGTAATTCATCTTTATCGGCATCCATACGATATTGGCCATGTCTTATCAATAATACATGTCTGGTTGCCGTTGATTTTGCCTTCTCTAAACGACGATTATAATCATCTTGATCACATTCAGGTAATGAACCAAAATCACCTTTCATTGGTGTTATAATAGAATTTGGTTCACGTTTATCCCAATTATAATCCCATTTTGTTGTTATATAATTATGTAGATTGATAAATTTATAATCAGGTAATAGTGCGACAGATGATGCATGTGCTTTAAAACTTTCCGTATCTTTATGTAGACCGGTAAATAATACGGCTGCAGCTGCACCACAACCAGCTAGACCAGCAGCCAATAATAGTTTTTTTGTTCCACGAAGTATAGACATTTGCGTTTTGTTTTATGACAAATTTTTATTATTATCAAAATGAAGATGATGTTTATGACTTTAAAATTAATGATGACAATGTCAAAAACACAAATAAAAAATTAATTGAAATTGTTCAATACACAAACAACAAACACAGAAAAAAATTCTTAGAGACAAGCAATTAATTTGTTCATGTCACAACAACAAAGCAAAAAAAAAAACAGTGTTCAAACAAAAAAAAATTTCGTTTGTTCGATGATGAGGAGGATGATGATGATGAGGGCAATAATCAAGATGACATTATCATTTGACTAACAATCCACTTACAATCATACAATTAACAATGTTGACTTTGTGACTTTTTTTTCGATTCAAAAAAGAAAAATCTGACTCGAGACTATTCGATGATGATCATTGTTGATTGATAAACATAGGCCGCGATTAAAAAAAATGAAGACTTGATAAATAGATTTTCGATAATCGTGATTTTTGTTACGATTTAACTGGAATAATTTGTTGTTGCTGTTCCACAATCTGTTCACTGGTTTTTTTTGGCCTCGGTCCCCTCTTTTGGTTTTTTCGAATCAATTTCTTCTTTATTTAATACTTAAATAATCATTTCAATTCTAAGTAACTATCAACAAAAACATTTATCGATGAAGAAGATAGACAAAAGAATCGGTTGTCGAATAGAAAGGAAACAATATTTGGCCGCATTTTTGTGGGCTAATCAATATTTTATGATGTTTATTTTATTGATTTAATTTCTCTTTTTAGGCGTTTAGGCGATCAGATTATCAAACAAGAATTTTTAAACATTTGTAGAAAGCGGAACAATAATTTTGATCAATCATAGATGTTAAGCAACAAATTGATTAGATGAAATTGATGTTATATATTCAATACAAATTAAAGTTGTAATTGTGTCTACAGACAAGAAACGATGCTATTCGAAATTAAAAATGATCAAGATGTATAATGATTCGACCATCATCAATGTTATCAGATCATTAAAACATACACAGATTTAAAAAAAAATTTCTCAATTTCCTCAATAAATCGACAACCTCAATCACACAAACAATTGATTAGAAAATTAGAATTTAATAGGAAAAAAATATCTTTTAAGATTAAACAAGGAATCTTAAGATTTTTAAGATCTGTAAAATCAAAAAAAAAACAGCAAACATTTACACCATATCAGTACAAGTGTAACACATACAATTGTTAAACAAAAATCGAATTTATTACTGAGCAACAGCATCAACATCATCATCAACGAAAAAAGCTATAGTCATAATTAAAATTTTTACGTAACAAATTTCTTACTATTTGTGTATTTCGATCATATTCCAATTATTGTAAATTTTCATACCACTACCCATTTGAGCATAACCTAAGACATTTAATTGTGACCACAGCTAAATGATGTTGATCTTGATTGAAACGAATGAAAAAAAAAAGATTCTCTCTTCATTCCGGCTTGTATTATTCCAGATATCAGGATAGTGTGAATTTTTTTTTTTGACTACATCTACACACATGTGGTTAACTATATTCGAGCAAAGAGAAAAGGAGAAAAAAAAACGCATGTAAAATTTATTTGTCCACTTACACGTACATTGCTAGAAGCAAAGAAAATAACAAAGAATTAACTGATGCTCCGCCCAGAATTTGTAGCAAAAAAAATTTCCTATTAAATTTTAAAATGCTCTGATTACCGCAAAAATTGAATGATAATTTTTTGAAAAATAAAATTAAAATTTTCTCAATTTTCAAATGTAATTTTAAAAAAATGAGAAACAAAAATGAATTTTTAAATAAAATAAATCGATACTTTTTATCGGCGACTTTTCTCTCCTGAAATGATAATAATAAAGATATAAATTAACATCAACAAACAAATATTGAAAGAAAAAGTGAAAAAAAAAATTATCATGATCATGGCCAAAGATATTCAGTTAAGAAAAACGAGTTGAAAATCAACAAAATCACCCTTAAAATAAATTGGCAGACAAGAATTTTTAATAAAGCAAACAAGGTTAACGAAACAGGAAAAAAAGGGAATAATTTTGATCCAAAAACAAAAGTAATGAAATTTTTTAAAAAAGCAGTCTGATAATTGTGATGATGATGATGATGAAGATATAAATGAAATGAATTTTATTTTTTTGATGGCTTTTCAATCATCATCATCATCAACAACAACATTATTATTAGATTCATCATTTCCTAGATGGTATTGGCGCTGATATCCGCAAATAGTTTGCGACTGAACAAGATTAACATCCCCTCTTTTTTGTTAACTTGTTGATTGTTTTAAATGAACTGTTTGTTATTTGTAGTAATCTCTATTAGTTATGATGTTGATCATTATTTTTTGGATCATATTCAATTATTATTATTATTATTTTTTTTTTGTACATTTTGTCAAAAAAAATATATTTATAGCATCTTTATTAAGAAAAAAAATGACGTGAAACAAACAAAACAAAAAAATATAAAAAAGAATTTGAATTTATCTAAGAAATTTTCGGCTTCTTTTCTAATGATGATGTTGTTTTTGTTGTTGTTGTTGTCGATGATGATGACAATGATTCTGAATTCTGAGAAATACCAGTTGAATGAGTATTTGTCGGTAATTCTTGTAATGAAACACGCCGTTGAATATTGGCTCTTTTTTTGGCCATTGTTATCGTATTCATCTTTTGATTCTCTGAATCTCTAATTATCATTTCATTTTCATTATTTAAAATTTCATCATCATCATCATCTTCTTCTAGGTATTGCGTTGTTGATGATGATGATTGAATTATCGATTTTGGTAAACGAACATTACGACCATCATTCATCGATATTAATGAAACGGTTGAATCCGATAATATTATCGATGATTCTAATGATTTTTGTATGATTGCAACCTGTTCCGATATATCTTCCAAACTATTTCTTGGACTTCCATTCAATGGTGAATGTGGTGTACTTTTGGTTGTTGTTTTTGTTGGAGATTGTTGTGGTTGTTGTCGTTGTTGTTCAGATTCCAATTTCTCCTTAATTTCATGTAATGCTTTTTCTTCATTCAAAATAGTTAGATCGGATACGCTATTATGACGTGAAGCCGGTAAACTAGCTGAATGTCCTCCCAATGCTTTATTCACTTTTTCCTCCAATGATTTTTGATGTTCTTCCACCCATTTACATGATAAACCAAGAAGAACAATATTTACACTTAATTTAAACGTTATGATACTTAGAAATAAAAATAATAAACAAAGACAGGAATAAATATCATTAAAATGAAAAGAACTGAAAAAAATTCTCATCAATAAAACGCTTAAAGGAAGTGGAATGAAACCCATTCGTCTGGAAACAATATCTGAATGATCCGAAAAAGCCTATTAAAATAAAATGATCAAAAATTTTAATTAAAAATTGAAAAAAAATCATCAAACAATCAAAAAAAAACATACACTTTTAAGTTTACTACCAACTAAATCATAGGCCAATGAAAGAGAATAATCTTCATAAACATCATAAGAAATTTCATTAAATCTTGTTACAAATGCATGTTTAAACCAATCGACAAATATTTCGACCGAAAATACCATTAAACAATCTGGTAATAATATCCATAATTGTCGATCTGACCAATTATATTCTTTCATTGTTTGTATGATAACAACAGCCAATAATACAATATAATGTAATCGTTCACGTACATCACTACAAGACATATGAAAAAGATTGTTTTTTTCAAATTTTTTGAAAACCATGCTTTTAAGTTCGACAAACTTTTTTTCAAACAAAAAAAATGAAAATTAATCGATTAGATCAGCATTACTTTTTTACAATTATCCCTATTCTTCGCCAAAAAAACTTACATTATTTGACATCATAATAGTGATAAGAGCTTTGTTTTTTGAATTGATGGCAACATTAAGTGTTGTTGCCTGCAGTAATACCAATATTGTATGGGCAACTATTGTTTGAGAAAAAGAAAAACATTTGAAAATCTCTCACGGAACAGGATGTAAAACACATACAAACATAAAAAATAGCTAATAAAAGATGAAAAAATATGAAAACATAATGACGTTTTTTGGTTTGCGGTTCAGTTGCCGTCCAATACAATGTATCCAATATATCCTGTCCAAATGATGATAAAAGTTTATCGGCAACTTCGAGCATATTGAAAAAAATATACAACTTTATAATAGATTGACTTTTGATTTGATGATAGAAAATTGATATTTCAATATTATCCATCATATAAAACGATGCGAGTAGGATGATTCCTTTGAGTATATCACAGGTTTCGGCAGCGTTCAATATCGGTACCGTTTGAAAGCTTTTTGAATTGAATGTAGAGAAGAATCGAATGAATATATTTGCGATACGAAATAAACATGATAATAGAGCCAATATTAAACGAAATGGTAAAAATGTTAGCACAAATAGGAAGGCGTCAACACATTGAAAGAAACCATAGAATAGAAACTAGTAAGATGAGAAAAAAAACTATGAAAAATCCATTTATTTAAAAAACAATTGAATTAACTTACGGTTTCCAACTTATATGGAATCTTGAGAAATATGTAAAATTTTTCCCTTCGTTCACGATATCTTTGTTCATCATTTTGTAGTTGATAGCCACGTTTTAGTTCACATCGAATATATTCCAATAAACTTGAATCGTTTTGTGGTTCTAAATTAACAAACAGATTTTTTTTAAAATATTCCAATTATATGATGAAAACAACTTACTAGAGGTAGATGATTCATTTTTCATTTCTTTCATTGATATTTAAAAAATTCTTGGAATTATTTCGCGAAATCATAAAAAAGAATAAATCTTAATGCAAAAAAAAAAATTAAAGCTGCATCAGCTGCATGTGGCGTCAATTAATTGTCTGTGTTGTCTATTTGAATTAAACACAACAACTATCGATTACTGTTCAAGTATCGATTGTTTTATTTTTTGAATTAAAAAAAATTTTGAATTTTTTTTTTGAAAATATTTTTATTATTGAAAAAATGCTTTTTTAAAAAAGATCATAAAAAGATAATAAATAACATTTTAAAAAGTGTGAGCGAAATAAATCACATTTGAAAATCGTAAAAGCATTAAAAAAATGTTTTTCGATAAAAAAAATTGAAGGATTAAAATAATTCCTTTTCCTGTTTAATTAGCTTCTGCTTCCATGTGGGTAATGAACAAAATTCTTCACGATTCATGGAAAATACTTTCTGTTTTGTAATGAAAGATAAACAAGATTTGTGAAAGAAATTAAAAATCTACAAAATTATTACCTCAAATTCTTCATCATCCAAATAAGATTCCAGGCAAAGAATATTGATACCTTCAGGCAATGGCCGACGTTTCAATTCTTCATAGCTATAAGTCGATTGATTAATATCTTCCATTTGTGAAAGAACTTCTTGTACTAGAATCTGTTCGCCTGGTTTTCGTCCATCCTGGTATAATTTGAAAAAAAATTCTCAAATTTTTTTCTAAAAGATATTCAAAACACAAACCTGAATGTGTAATTTGGCAACATTGTCATAATAGGTCCATGTTGGAAATAAACCACAAAAAGAATCCGGTTCAAGACCGGCTGATATCACATAAGATTTTGGCGGTTCGGCCGGATTTTTTGCTGATTAATAAGAAAATATAAAATCATTTTAAAATCACAGATTTTTATCACAAACACATACCATGACAATAGGCAAGTGTAGTTTCAAGTGCACATTTTCGTTCGGCAAGCCAAAGTTGTGCAGCAAAACCAGTAGTCATATTACATTCGGATTGAATTTCTTCTTCGATATCGATCATTTTTGGCATTTGTTGTCGCCGCTCATCACCGCCACCATCATCATCATCATCATCAACAGGTGATTTATTTGGATTCTGTTGATGTTCATTTTTTATTGTTGTTTGATTCGAGCTAATAAAAAATGGATATTTGGATTCCCAAAGATAGACTTCATATTCAGCATCAAAAAGAAAAAAGGTGGGTCGTATTTTTGCTCGTCCATAAATATCATCCTGTACGAATGGATAACTAATATGTATGGTTGCTCGAGCTGATTTCGGTGGATAATATGATGAAATTATTTCAATAGATTCAAATATTCGATCGGATGATGTTCGAAAATGAAACAAACGAGGTGTAAAACAATAATGACGATTATCATCGATCAAAGAAAAATAAACATCACGATGTAGATTAGATTTTGATTGTCGTCGTGTTAATGTTGAATCTGGTGATAAAATCTGTTGTTGTTGTTGAAAAATATTCATAAATTCTCGACTTTCTCGACCTTCATCCAGATCGATAAGATGATAATCATCGATAAGATCATCGACGGGAAATCCAAATTCCTGAGATCGATGTTTAAGAATGTTTGTATCAAAAAATGTACGTATTTTTAGACGTTCAGATTCGTTAGTTTTACATCCATGCCATAAATAGATTTTTGATGAATGACCTGGATTTACAAATGCATATGAAATACGACTACGAAGATTTCGAAAACTACATTCCAATTCTATCATAAATTGTTCTTCGGGTAATGTATCCTTTAACATAAACATTCGATAACTTCCACAATTGTTTGTTTGTTTTCGTTTGCCGTTCTGTATAACCAACGAACCTTGAAATATTCGTAAAAATATTGGATCTTCTTGTCCATGTTCAACATATGTTTGTGATGCACCTTCAACACGAAGTTTTTCAATTGCATTCAATGCTGTTATACCACGTTGTGTATTACGAGTATCTTTACCCTGCCATACAAAATAACAAACACGATCACGACCTCCATGTTGTTCAACAGAATAACGAGATTCACCACCAGTTTTTAAACATCGACTAATTCGTGTTAAACGATATTTCCATCTAATGTAATAGGATTCTGAACTACAAAGAAAATTTTTATCCATTTCATTCAGTTCAACACGATCACCGCATTCATCAATGACAAAACATTGTACATCTAATGTTATCACTTTCACTGGAAGGCCATCTTCATCATGTATCGTATCACCAGCACCACGTCCCAATGAAACACATTCAAGTATAAGCTCTTGTTGTTGCGGTACATTTTGAATCATATCCTTTTCAACATCCACTGGAAATAGATTTAATTCGGCTGAAAGATCTTTTTTGCAGCATTTATGTTTCTTTGCATCATCATTGTTTGTTGTTATTGTTGTCGACGACGATAATGATGATTTTCTTGATTGATACTTCTTTTCGGGACGTGTTAACGTGAATGCTGGCCAATTAAAAAATTTATCTTTGAATAAAATTGGTTCCATATTTTGATTGACACGAATAAACCAGGCCCAATCTGGACGTCGATCAGATTTGATTGTGATATTATTACCTAATGGACAGCAATCAAATTCCGTATAATCATAACCTTGATACCAGTAATCTTTAGCTGCTTCAACAGCTTTTTTACGTATAATATTTGATACACTTTTACCAAGCCAGATATACATTTCGCTTCCAAAATCAAATACCAGAGCTTTATCTGGTTGTAAAATAGCATGACGTGGTTGTCGGCCACAATTATTTTCCAATGGTCGCAATTGGGCTTTTTCTGCATCTGATTTTTCATCAAACACGACTTGATAAACAATATTACTATGATTAATAAATTCTTCATAAAATTCATCATCTTCATCCAAATCTAAATTCAATATAGTTGAGCCGATAAATTTTTCAAATTGATCTACATCATTTTCAATGTTAAAATTTAATTCTTGAAGTAGAGGCATTAATCTGTCCATAAGTATCGAATTATTCGATAAATTCAAATCATTTTGACAATCAATCAACGTAACACCGTTCGATGAAGATCTAAAACAAAGATCTTTACGTTTTCGAATTAGATCGGAAATCTCCATACATTTAGTTCGCTCAATAATGTTTGAATAACGACCAATATAGGCAATAATTTTATCTTTGGTGACCAGAATAAAACTATCCATTTGATTCAATGATTGCCATCGTGGTTCAATCAAACGTGTATGTGCTTTTCGTCGTCCTTTTATTAGTATCAACATTTTAGATTGTAATGAATTTTTAAGATCAAATGTACGCCATGAATCATTTCGTACAACACTATTATTACTACGAAGCTTGTTTGCAACAGATTTAAAATCTTCAACACTAGCCAAACCGGCTAATGCAGATAATGCAAATCTGGAATCATCTTTGGTTATTGGTGTACTAGGTGTTCGTGGTGTTGAAGAGATCGGTGACGATGATGAGATCTTTGAATCATCATCCATATGAATCGTTCCATTAGTTACTCCAGATGATGATATCGTTGTTGAGGATGAAGTTTGATATGAATCGATCGCAATCGATGCACGTGCCAATGGATTTTTACCTGTTGCTTGCCGACGTCGACGTGGTGCCTGAACACGTGTTTTTTTACTTTCCGAAAGTCTGTTACGGCGACAAATATGTGATTATTATAAAATAAAAAAATAGATTGTCAACAACAACAACAAAAGTAACCAAAAATTGTTAAATTAATCTAATTATTTCATTTTTTTTACATTTATAACAGAAATAATATAATTAAATAATAGGAAACAATGAAAAAACAACAAAACAGGAAATAAAATTGCTATGAAAAGATTCTAACATCAAGTAAAAACATATCAATCATTGTAATGTCAAACACATTCGAATACAACATCATTCGATACATTCATCTGATGATACGAATCGACCGTAATCGGTGTTTGTGCAAGTAATTTAGCCGGATTTTTGGCCGATGTTTGTCGGCGTTGTTTAGGTGCCTGTATTCGTGATAATTTTCTTTCCGTAAGTCTAAATAATAAATAAATGGATAGATAGATAGATAGATAGATACAGATAGACAATGATAAGATAATTTATAAAGGAAATAATCATTGGAAAAAAAATTTCGAAACAAAAAAACCGATACAATCTAATTGTCATCATGCAACAAACAAAAAAAAAATAATAATGATAAAAATCTTTCAATAAAAAAACAAAAGGAAAGGAAATGGTTAAATGGTACAATTAGCAAAAATAATATGAAAAGCTATATGAAATTCAGGTGATTTTTCTAAAGTTTTTTGTTGGTTAATTATTGTTACTTACAATTTTATTGTCGATGTTGTCGTATCTAGTGTTGATAAACTATACGATTGTTGTTCTTTGTCATTATCTAATGGTGTTGTTGTTGATAATGCAGGTGATGATGGTTTCAATAATTCATTCATCCTATTTGAATCAAAACCAAAAAATGAACCAAAACTTTCTTCATCGTCAGGTTTCAAAATCATAATCGTTTCAGGTTGAGAAATTTCATTTGTAGCATTTGTAGATTGTTCTAATGATGATGTTTGATTATTATTACCATTGCCATCATCATTGTTGTTGGATTTGGTTTTTGAGATAGGTGATCGTTGTGAAGGACTGGAAAATGGATTTTTATCTTTACCCAATACTGTGTTCAATTTTAGACTAATGGCACCAAGTTTTTTCTCGCTCAATGTTGATCCACGAAGACCATGACGTTTAGGTGTTTCACGTAATACAACTTTATCCATACCATCATTATCATTTGATTTATCATTAGTTGGTGTGTTATTTGTATTAGTAGTTGATAATTTTGATGCAACCGTAAATTTTTTTGCATCTTTTTCCGGTACTCTTGCTCGCCATTGTGATTGTGAATCCATTAAAGCTGACAAACGATTAGCAATCTTAATTTCTTTTGTATCTGACTTTAAACTATTTGTTGATTTTAGCATTGACTTTGTCGTTGTCGTCGATGATGATGATGATTGTTGTTGTTGATCACGAGGAATAATTCGTTGTCGCCATCCATATTCACCATTCTGTTTTAGCTTGGCTAAACGTTCACTAATACTAATTGTAGTACTACCACCACCATCATCATCAATATTACCATCATTATTATGATTATCATCAGCCACACCTATCACAAAACAACTCTTTGGTCGAACTTTGCGAACTATTTTATTATTAATATTGCTGCTATTTATTCTAGATGATGATGTTGGTGATGCTTGAAAGCGTAATGCAATAACCGTATCCATTGATGTTGTCGCCGTGGCTGTTGTTGGTGATGATGATGCTGTTGTCGACATTATTCTAAAAACAGAAACATTAACAGAAACAGAAACGAAACGAACAAACACCCACCCACACAAACAATTATAATCGAATTTGAAGGAATTTTTTTTTTGTTTCAACAAAAATTAATTTGATGTTAAAAGCCAAGAATTGAAATCATTGATCAGCAAAGCAAAGTAAAGAAAGAAATGAATAGGAAGACGAAGATAAAAAAGATGAAGAAGAATAAGGAAAAAACCATAGGAAAAGACAATCCTCAGCAGATTGGAAATAACTGAAGGTTTTTTTTGTTTCACTATTGTTTCACTAGTGTATCAAGTAAGACAAACGAATTGAGTGTCAGCCAAACAGATAGGAAAAAAAAGACGACAAGTGCTTTGAACTTCCATTAATAATGATAATTATTTAACAAATTCATCATCATCATTTAAATCATTATGGTTAACTGGAAATTATAAGGCAGGAAATGAACAATCCGTTGTCATCGTTGTTGTTGTTGCTCTATTTTATTTCGTTTTTTTTATTTGTCATATATATCAACCACACATTATTACAAACAAAAGAGAGAGAAAAAAATGATTTTTTTTCTGTTGTTGTTGAAAATCTCGATTTATTTGATCAAGAGAGTTTGGAGAATAAATCAAAAATCAAATGAAATAATGTAGTGGTGGTGATGATGATAATGATGATGGTAAAATGTCATTTTTAATCAATCAATCAACTATGGTGGCTAGAATAAACAATCAAAATGACAGACAACGATGATTTTGATTGAATAAGATTGGATCACATTAATAAATTATGATTTTTTTTTCTGTATAAATTCAAAACATGATTGGATTCCAAATCAAATCGACAACTGAATAAACATGTACAAAAAATAACATCAACAACAAAAAAAAGGATTGAATTCTCCATAGGAAATTCTATTGCTTTCTCTCATTCTCCATCACACACTATCTAACCGATTTCAATACAAACACATAACAACAACAACAGAAAAACATCAAACATTCAAAATATCTCATCATCATCATCATGATCACCATACAGAAATCGAAACACATTCAGTATGGAGATTATTATCATCATCATCATAATCATTATTGAGTGAGAATAGAGAGAGAAAACGAAAAACACTCTATATTTTATCCATCAACTAATGCACCATCCAATAATGATATTGATGATGATGATGATAACACAAACAATAATATTTATTTCATCGTTCGATTCAAACTGTTGTTGTTGTTGTTGTTTGGGAGAAAATCCAGAAAAAAAAAACATTCGAAACAATTGTTGAATGAACGGGAAGAAATTCAGTTCAGTTATCATTGTTATTACTGAAGAAAAAAAATGTGTGAAAAATAATCTGAACTTTAAATTGAAAAAAATGGACACACACAGTAAGATATTGATGGATAGAATAATGATGATGATGATGATAAAGTGAACTAGATTGATAAAAAAAATTTTGAATTTAAAATTTCTTAACATTTTTTACCACACTTTGATCAATAAAATCGGATTATCAAAGATGAAAATCCCATTTCTGAATGAATCAAAGGATTTTGTTTTTGTTTCGCTATTAAATCAATGTCTATTCAATGTAAAAATCATTTTTTTTGAAAGATTGAAAAAATTAAAGAATTCCAAACACAGAGGATGACGGAATGATGAAAAACAAAACAAAAAAATCATTTTGATTTAATTGGAAATTTTTTCGTTTTCTCATTCGATAGGAAAAAAAGAAGGAAAAAAATTTTATTTTCTTTGGGGAAGAAATTGCATACAATTTTAGATCAAATTTAGAATAAAGAAAGCAAAAGAAATAATGAAATAAAGGAAAATAGACATGAAAGACAAAGAATTTTTCAAAAAAAATGAAAATTACCAAAATTTTGTTTTTTTTTCTGAAGTCATTTGGAAAGCTCAAAATTTGACAAACAACATAAGGAAAAACACACACAGAAAAACACTTTAAGTGTAAAAAGTATAAATATAGCAAACAGGATAGATTTGATAATTAATTCAATCAATAAAAAGAAAGATAAAAGAAATGTTAGCAGTTTGTTAAGGTAAGGAAAATGAACAAAAGGCATCCATGATTGAAAAGTATTTGAGAAAAAAAATGGGAGAAAAAAGTAGAACATTGTTCTGGAATAGTTGAAGAATCATTGTGAATAATATTCAACGATCCATGGATTCCATCCATTAGTTTAAACATTTACCTCATTGTCGATGATGATTGTTCATTATTATTATCATTATTAATATCATTATTATCGGGTAATGTATGAATCATTTCCATCAAACTTGTTGCTGCTAATGATGATGATGACGATGATGATGACATACTATTATCATCAATATCATTCGAATCTAAACATGTGGATTGAACGGATTCATTGTCATTTAAACATTGATGTTGCTGATTTTGGCAATTATTCCCACTATTATCAGATCGTAAATTTGATTTTAAAATCGGTTTAATAATTGTTTCAGTTGCCATTGATGATGATGATGATGATGATTGTATTGTTGCTTGATTGATCACAGATATTTCATCATTTTTGTTTTTGTTAAATAATCGAAATAACGGTTTCGATGAACTCTCATCATTCCCGCCAATACTATTCACTATTAAATTGCCATCCAATGATGCACGTTTACGAAATGCACTTTTACGATTATTATTGATGACCAATGATGAAGATGATTCTTCTGATTCATCTGTATTTGACGATAATAATGATAATGAATCGGTCGATGCTGTTGGTGATAATGATGTTGAACGTAAACGATTCTGTCGACTCGCTACTGTTGATGATGATGATGATTTGAGGATACTTTTTAGGCCAGCGGTTGATAGATTATTTGATGGTGAAAAAAATTTATTCGATGAAAATGAAGTAGTGGTCGTTGATTGTTCATTTGTTGTTGAATGAGAATATAAATAAGACACTGTTGTTCCCGGATCTCGTTCATCGAAATTTGATGAATTTTTAGTTGCAGTCAACAATGATGAACCGGTTGGAGATGATTGTTGTGGTGGTGAACGATCAATTGATGATGATTTCAATATTCCTTTTACCTGATGATCATTATTGGAATTTGATCCAATTGTCGAATGACCAAAATGATCCGGACCACTTTCAGTACTCCATGATTTTTTCTTTAAAATTGGCTTCAAGTGATACGGTTGTTGCTGATGATAATGTGGTTGTAAAGGATCATCTGATGTTGATCCGATTACATCTGTATTAATGTTCAATGTTTCATCAAAGGAATATGAACCTCTTGGCTGTTGCTGACGATTTTTCAATATGGAAGGCGGCGGTGGTTGTTGTAAACACAATGTTGCTACATCTAATTTTGAGAATAAAAGTCATCATTATATACTGATTGTATATGTCACTTACCGTTGTTTGAATTCATACTCGAAGTTAATGTTGACGATGAAGAATCATTTCCAGTGGATGAAATAATATTACCATCAATATTTAATGCAGAACTATCACGTTTTTTTAGAATCGGTGGCGGTAGATTTGGATCAGGTGGATTTTTCGAAACAGTTGATTTATCCAACGAATCTTTTCGTTTCAATATTGGTCTTAGATTCGTATTCATCGTGGTTGCTGATGAATCAAATGAAAAATTTGTCAACATTGTAGGTTTTGTTATTGTATAAAAAGCTGGCGATGATGTAGATGATGAATCTGTATTCTCGTCATTATTAGGTAGCAATACATTCTTCATAATTATTTCACTACTACCACTATTATCATTGTTTTCGCCATCCTTCAATGAAAACGATGATGATGATGACGATGATGGAGAAATTTCTTCAATCGGTTCGTTGGAAATTTCCTGGTGACACTCACTATTATTATCGATTATTTCTTTTCTATTATTATGATCACCAACATCATCATCATAATCATTATCATTATTTTTCAATGAATCTGAATTGATTGTTGACATTTTTTTGTTTGGTTCATTCGATATTGATGATTCAATGATTTGGCTTGATTTTTGTTGTTGTTGTTGCTGTCGTTCTAATGTTCGAATAGCATTTGTATTGGCATAGTTCCAACGTCGATTCTGAATATTATTATCATTTTTTGATTGTTGGCTAGATTTTTTGTTCATTTCATTATTAATCATTTGAATACGATTCATAATCGTTGATTTTATTTCATTTCTTTTATCATCCATAATAATTAACTATTCTAATAATGATTGTAATGATTTTAAATTAAAATTACTACGTTGTTCTTGGAAGTTGTCATAGTCAATCAAACAATAATCTATTATCATGATTTGTATTTATGATTATTTTTAAAAAAATCTATAAGAATCAAAATTAAAATGATTAAAATTTGATTGAAAAACATTGATTGAAATTACCTTATTCTAAAATCTAAAATAAAACAAAATAAAAACAACAAACAGGTAAATTATCGATTGATCCACCTTTGATAATGACGCTGTATATTTTTTAATGTCATCATCATTGATAATTAATTTAGGTTTTTGTGTTATTATGATGATGCTGATAATGATGATAAAAATGATAATGATAATAAAAAAAAGTGGATTCAAAAATTTGGATCAAATTCTTATGTAAAACTTTTTTTTTTTGTCACACCTTTTTAGCAAGGAATAAAATTGTTTATTTTGTTGTTTATTCTTTTTGCTCACGCGCTCAATGACGATGATGATGATGATGATGATGATGATGATGATCAATTGGTGCAACCATCATTATCCTCATCACAAACAGCCACAACTATTTGGAAACAAAAACAGACAGACAGAGAAAGACAAACAAAGATAGACAGTAAACGGCTAAAGTGTTGAATGTTCAAATTTCAAAAAAAAAAATTAAATAAAGAAAATCATCATATTAATTCACACTCTATATTAAAATTATTTATATTTATACAGGTAAAATGTTTTCAACAAGAAAAAAAAGACGACATTCGAAATTGAGAATGGATGAATGAAATTAAAACGGTTATGTATGTGCTGTCGTCGTCGTCGTCGTCGTCGTCGGCATCAAAAGTCAATCACATTTTGATCGGGTTATCTTTTCCTCTTCAATCCCAAAACATATTATGGATCAATGTCATTTAATCTCTCTATCTTTCTCTTTGTAATTAGGGTGTGTTTCTCTTTTTGATTGGATAGATTTTGTTGAAACACAGCTGTAGTAAATAAATAGAAGAAAAACGTTAAAATTTCACGTTTTTTTTCCATCCCCTCGAGATTAAGTTTTTGTTGGCCAGAACATACGATATTATTTTCGACTGGAATTTGTAAACATCATCAATAAATTGTTGTTGTTGTTGTTTTTGAATTCCATTCGTATATTTGATTGACAATAATAGAAAATGTTTGTTTATTTTTCCAAGAAACAAGATTTAAAATCAAAAAAATATCGGTAAAGTTATTATCGGTAATGATTTTTCTATTCGATTATAATCTGAATTCGAGCGAACTAACGAACGAAAAAAATCAATGATTAACATCACCGATTCGAATGATAATCGAAACAGCGCATGTTGGGATTCGAATGTTGGAAATATTTCAAAAAAAATGAAAATTTCTTGAAAACAATTTTGGAATTTTTCGAAAAAAAGATCATTAATGATGATTAGGGTGGATCGATTTTTTTTTTGTTCAAAAACAAAAATCGAAGAAAATTAATAATCATCTGCTTGATTATGTTACGTTTTAAGACAGCTGGTTCCGCTTTTTCTAAATTTTCTTCCGACAGAAAAAAAAACAGCAAGATCAACAACAATAACAAACTAATCACAAATATTCTGACCTTGATTCTAGTTTTAGATTTCTAATCAAAAATCTTTAATAGTAATGAAAATTTTTCTTTTTGCTCGGTTACGATTTTGCCAAGTTTCACATGATCAAAAAACATCAAAATAAAGATAATTTAATCCATAATGTACACACAAACACACATACATCAAATATCTATATCATATCATATCATTATATTTGGCCAAAGCAATGGAATTTATAATAAACGAAAACAAAAAAAAAGGTAAAACAAAGAAGAAATGATTGTTAAAATAATTATTAATCTAATGTTGTTGTTTTGTTTTTTTGTTGGCCAACATTATTTTCATCATTAATATAAATTGGTAATTTTTGAAAATATCATCTGATCAGCAGATGAATTATGAACGATTTTTTTTTCATTCTATATTAATGATATTAATAATGATAAACATTTGATTTTGAAAAGAAAAATCAAAGAAACAATTTCCTTTTTTGTTGTTGTCTGATAAATGGATTCTCACAATCATATCGATATCAATATATCGATATCATCGATATTGTCAATCCTTATCATTATCCTCATCATCATTCGATTCGAATGTTCTAATTACACACATTCGATTATTAATATTAAAGTCGAAAACAAAAAACATTTTACATTAAATAATTAATGATGTTCGCATATGATCAAACGAAAATTCAATCAATTAATTCAATTCAATTGATCAAAATTCATTTTCAATTGAATTATATCAATGTTTTTTGTTTTGTTTTTTTTGAAACAAAATTATTTCTGATGATTGTAAATTGTGCCGCATGTTTTTCATCGAAAACAAATAAACTTTCAAATTTTGATCATTGTTTCTAATGAACTTTTTTCAATAACAAAATAGCGGTTTTTTTTCGGTGATTCGAGTGAAAACAAAAACCTTTTGTCCAATACATCTGCCGTTTTGTCTATTATATGAATCTCTATTCAATCATCATGATGATTGTTGATTTTTTTCTGACATTCATTCAATAAACACACACACACATAAATGTACTCACAATTTAATAACTGAACAAAAAAAAACATTTTCTTCATTCGAAAGAGTAAATTTATCAAATGATTCGATCAAAACTAACTGATGTGATGATAATAATAATTTCATATTATACACCTGTGTTTTTGTGTAATGTCCAATCATTGTGACATCGATAATGGAAACAAATAGAACAGCAGCAAAGGAAATGAAAAACTAGTCCAACTTCATTTTATTCATCAGACATTCGAATCACTGAAAAGAAAAATCATTCACCATCATAATAATCATCCGAATAACATGAATTTTTCATCTGAAATTTGAATCCAGAAAATTTTAATAAAAATCAATCAATTTGATACAAAGAAACAATAATTCATTTTGAATCTCATCAACCAATCAACCATCCAATATTTAAAACAGATTAATAATCATTATCATTCTGATGTGAATTCACTGACGACAAAGTTTGCAGACACACATCACCATCGGTTAAATTATTCATTAGTTTTTGTTTGTCTGCAATTTGGACATTTCATGGTCATCAACATCATCAATGTTTTTCACTTGTTTCACAAGTGAAGATGAAAAAAATCCTTATTGATCAGACTTTTATCTGTTCACAGTAAACAGTGGTCAATCTTGTTGAAATGTAAAGTAATCATTTAAATTTTGATAATTTTCAACCTGAAAGAAAAAATTTTTTTGCCCGCTGACCATATTTATTTTACCTGAGGATACACATATGTTATTGAAATAAACATTCCATCTTAAGCTGTTGAAAATCTAAATAAGAAAATATTTCATCGTCATTGAAACATCCACACTAAACTTTATTTGCCATATTTGTTTATTTTGTTTATTTTTTTTCTATTAATAGTTTTTTTTTAATCAAAAGATGGAAAAAATTCGACAGCAACAAGTGTCTCTCATGTTTTTTTTCTGGTTGACATAGACAAATCCTTATAAAATTTCATCTTGTGGATTGTTTTTGACAACTGAAAATCCGGCTTCATTTTTTGCGGACCATTTTTTATTCGCCGAAGCCAAAAATTATCTGTTTTGTTTTCGAATGGCCAATGTTATTAGCATTTATTTTTTGAATGAGAAAAAATGTCCGATGATTATGATTCAAATGATAATAATAATATTAATAATGATAATGATAATCAATCATCAAATTTGGTAAAGAAAAAAATTCATTGGCAATTAATTGAAAGACGACGACCACAATCAGTGACAATACGTACAGCCATTCCGACAGCTGCTGCCGATGAACTTCGAATGTTTGTCGAAAAAAATCATTTACAATATCGTCATCAACAACCAAAACATCCATTGGATGATTTTGAAAATCTTTTCAATCAATTAAATCTGAATGATGATGATGAACTATTGGATCGTGCTGAACGGCGAGATTTACCGGCAAAATTTCAACAATTATATCGTAAAAATGTCGTTAAACAGCAACAATTTGATAATCATATGGATAGATCATCAGTATTGAAAAGGTAAGATAACTTTGTAATAAAGAATTTTAGATAGCATTTTCTATTGATTTTGCTCGTTAGGTCACCAACAAAAACTCCGGCAATTCCTGCTCGTCGTTCAGCTATGCCCAACGTTATATTGGATGATGTCGCCTATCGTCGTTATGATAAAAATCGTCAACAAAAAGCGTTACCAATGTGGCCATCACCGAAAAAATCTCAAAATCATAATAGATCTCAACAACAACAACAATCTGATTCAATTTGTTATATGTTTCTTGATAACTATGAAGATTGGCTAAATGATTCGCACATATCAGAAAATAACACTGCCATTCATGATGATGATGATTATGAAAATGAATATACCATGGGAAAATCATTACGAAAAAATCCCGATCTTATACAGGATGATCTGTTGAATCGTCGTCTAAAACAATCATCAGCATCACGTGTGCCAACCGTTCCGCCATTACCATTCGGTATACCGAATACACCGATTACGACAGGCGTTCAAACGACTGGATATTCGAACGTTGAACTTGATCAAATCGAATCACGTAAGCAACGATTTCGTACAAGAGAATCATCACCACATTTAATCAATGATGATTTTGCATTTCGGATGCTTCGTCATGATGTTCGTGATGTTCGTAAAGAAAAACAATTATCATCATCAATGAATTATAGTCAAAATTATTGTGATAGTCATATAGTCAATGGATCACCATATCGTTCTCCCTCATTAGCTCCGTCATTATCATCGAATAATTCATTATCATTGGAAAAATTACGTAAACAACTTCGCCCGACTGTTAGAGACCGATCATCGATATCATCGGCCGCTTCATCGTCATCATCATCAAATACGACTGATTCATCATATGGATTTATCTGATATAATTATTCGAAAATTTCCCATTAATCATTTCCGTTTCTCTCTGATTTGTGCCAGATTTTTTTTTCACTAATCTTTTTGTTGTTAATGTTTATTTGTTGAAAATTAAAAATCATTTTTGAATCTTTAATAATCACACCATCTAGTGGCCAATGATAGATTCTGTAATCAGCTGAATTCGAATTTCTCATTTGAGAATTTCAAATTTTCAATTTTTTTTTGTTTCTGTAAAAATGTTCCACTTGGGACAGCGATCGGTAAGAACTTTGCTTAGAAATTTTAAACTTCCTTCTTCATCATTACATACAACGATTCTTGGAGACGATAAACCTTATTTTAAACTAAAAGTGTATGATGATCATTTTGAATCAAAATTCGCAACGAATTTAAAACAGATTAAAAATTCAATGTTTGTCGTACCGGATTTTATTGATACAAATGAAGAACAATCATTATTAGATGAAGTTGAAAATGTATTCCGTGTACGACGAATACGTTATGAACAGACACATTGGGATGATGCCATACAAAATTATCGTGAAACTGAACATTTAAAATGGCGACCAGAAAATGAGATGATTATTGAACGTATTCGACAATTAGCTTTTGTACATAATACAAATCATATTAAATTTGTACACATTCTCGAAATTAAAGCCGATGGTTTCATCAAACCACATGTTGATAGTGTTCGGGTAATTTTTTTGTTTTGGTTATAAAGGAAATTCAATAAGCTAGAATTTTTTTTAAACGATATTTTAGTTTTGTGGTGATACAATAGCCGGAATATCTTTACTTTCAGATTCGGTAATGCGAATGCGTTTAGAATCGAATCGTGATATTTATGTTGATGTTTTACTTTGTCGTCGATCATTATACATTATGACGTATGTATCATGGATTTAATTTGAAATTGATTGATTTTTTGTTTGTTTCGTTTCATTAATTCACTTTAGTGGTGATGCTCGTTACCTGTATGCACATGAAATTCTTGATGATAAGAATTCATTATTCAAAGAAAAATATGTAAAACGTGATCGTCGAATATCGATTATCTGTCGTAATGAACCAATAGAATTAACTAATTCACAATGAAATTGTTTTTGTTTTCAAAAGCTTTTTTCAAAATTATTTATTTCAATTACATAATGGTGATAAACAATTTGTTTATGTTTTTTATTTATTAATTTTGGTCAATTATTTTTGTGTTTAAAAATTTTTATGTTATACGAAGAAAAAAGATGATGATGGTGTGATTTTGTCAAAAATATCAAGCTGTAAAAAAACTTGATATTTTTGTTCCAATTCAACAGAAAAAAAATCGAACAAATGTTATGTGTGTGTGTTTCGATCGATGTTGAGAAAATTTATCGAAAAAAAAAACAATTAAGAATAATCGGGCTACATTGTTCTATTCATTTTGTCTGTTTAATTTATTTGATTTTGAGTAAATTGATGGATCGAAAAGAACAAAATATCAATTGGTGGTACACAGCAATCGTTTTTTGTTTGTTTGTTTTGTTTTGTTTTGGGATTCGACATTTGTTAAAATTCATAATTATATTTATAGTTAATTATGGCAGAATTTATAATTTTTTTTTCTCCATTTTTTGTAATTTTCGCATAATTTAAAAAGAATTAATTAATTTACGATAATGGTGTTTGTGTGTGTGTGATGTTCATGTTGCAGTGGTGATGATGGTAAGGAAAGATAAAGCTGCTGGTCAAAAATTAAAAAAAAAATGAAATGAAATGATGACAATTATGACAAAGATGTTATTCTTTGAAGCGAACGAAAAAAAAAATTAACCCATTCCAGTGTTTAATGTCCGTATATGTTTTTGATTAATTAAAAAAAATGAAATGATGTTGGCGGTGATGTTTTACATTTTTTTTTCTTTTCTTTTGATGACAATTTATAGTTGAATTTTTTTTTTGCTAGAAAATTGTACATTTGCCTTTCTCGGCCCATGGATTATTTTTTTTATCTGGTGTATGGATCAATGGATCCTGTGGTTCATTCTCTTCGATATATTCACGAAGACTTTTGGATTAAGATTTTTTTATTTTTGTTTTGGTTGTTTGTAAAAGGAAATGATAATGAAAAATCAAACATTAATGGTTAAGATTTTATTTATTTGAAAAAAAATACATACGCTTGAATCGATTTTGACAATGGCCATCGTTCCATCATTGCTTGATAACGCATATTTTCAATCTGTTTTCGCAATGTTTCTTTATCCATTATATAAACAATATTATTTTAATTATTATTATTATGATCCTGGATCAATCACTTAAAAGAAACAACACAATCAAAGGTTAAAGGTAACACACACACACAATGATAATTCTAATAAGAATAGAATATTCTTCTTGATACAAGCAATTGACAATTTTCTCTCTCTCTCGATGACCGTATTCTGTTGTTGTTTTTTTTAAATTTTCACTCAATAATTCAATACACCAGACAAAGAAATGAGGTTATTCTTCTTATTCTTGCTAGTTTCCTTTCCCCTCTCAACCATACATACACACACACAAATCGTTATTCCAGAATGATGCTTTGGTCCAGATTTTTTTTTCGATTATTATTATTTCTTTTCGTTTCTGTTCTCAATAAAAATAATGCAGTTTACTGACAAAAAAATTTTTTTTGTTGAGAATAGTGGTCGATCAGCCACACCTCTACAAAAGTGAATACCATTACCTATATAATTTTATATTGGTAGATAGAGATTCTAGCTGTTTTTTTTTCTTTTGTTGGTTCCATTTCACTGTATTACAGTCAGTATCCATGGTGCTATATATTTGAATACGAAACAGATATATATAACGGTTATTTTCATTTGCATCAGTAGCATTATTCTATTCTAATTTGTTGTTTTTAAGTAGTAGCATACATATCATTCGCTGCCATTGACGTATCGAAATAAATTCGGGCCAAAAAGAGAAAGAGATGCTATTTGTTTGAACTGCATGCCATTGAATTCGATTCAAAAAAAAAAACAAATAAAGATTCTTGATCCGTTTGATGGAATATTCCAATTTGCCAAAAAAATTGAAATTTTTTTTAAACTAATCAATCAAATATTTATGATAATGACGAAACAACAAAATTTGATCCTCAAGAAATCAAATTGAAATAAAAAATTCATTAGTTTAGTTAACAAGGGGAAAAAAAATACCAAAAATGAAAAAGGATTTGAATAAGGAAATGAAAGAATTTTTCTTTTGCGAGAAAATTCCCGAAAAAGATCGATGAAATTTTTTTCTTGTGTTGAGATTTTTCTCGAAAAGGTGGAGCTTCAGTGCTGATTCATTTTATATTTTACTTTTATATAAAAAGTTGTACGCGTAATTTGGCTCAATATGTTTTTCTGTTTTGTAATGTTGTTGATTTTCAAACACTTGTTTAAAGAATTTTGATTCCGCATTTTTTTTTGTTTACATATTTGCTTCCGCAATAATTGATAACGATTCGAATCTAATGATTGTTAATTTTCAATATTCATGTCGAATTTTGTTAATACTAACAAGTAAGATTTTGCTTGATAGACACAAAAGATTTAATAAATTCTTGAGTGTGTGTTCGATTAAAGATTGTTTTCAATTTTAAAGATAATTTTTTTTTCACTCATTATCAGAATTTCTACGACGACGACTACGAATACGACAACAATGACAAATTTATTTGCAACACCAAATTATTCATCATCATTGGGAATGATGAATCCTTATCAGCAACAATTCTATAATTATTCATCATCTTCATCTATTCCACTTCCATCGTCACCTATACAATCGCAATCATTGCCGATTGTTAATAATAATTTTCCATCGGTCAATTCAATGATGACATCTGTACCGTTAGCACAAGCCGGAACATCAACAATGCCACCATCAACGCCAATCATTTCACCACAACATCAATCATGGTCACAAAATATACCTTCAGTGATGCCATGGTCAAATCAGCTCAATAATCAGAGTATTAATGAAAGATTTTCATTTGGAATCATGCCGTCACCACTGCCATCATCACAGATATCACAACCAATACAACAGCCACAATTGATCAACAATCAACAATTGATCAATAATTCTATCGCACCATCAAATCAAAATATCAACGCGAATAAGAAAAGACATTTTAGCCATCTAATTAATGATTCGGAAGATGAATCCTTTTATGATTTTGATAATGAGCGACCAATCAAAAAATATATCGGTGAAGATAAAGTATTGGAAATATTTGATCGCATGCATATTCGTGAAGGTGAAAATTATATTGTTGAAGATGTAAAGGATGGTCCATTAATCGATTCAAACAATAATAATAATGGCATTCTAATTGAAGAAATTGATGATAATAATAATATTAGTACAGATACTGGTAATGTTCAAATATTGGAAATATCACCCGAATTACGTGATGCATTTTCTAATCAACAGCCATCTATAACGGATAAACTAATACAAGCAGAACAAGAAAAAATATCCAAAGCATTAGTCGTGTGGGAATCAAATAGCCTAATGAATTTATTATCCGGTAATAACCGGTCAGAAATTGATAGTGATGATGATGATGATAATGATAATAATGTTCGTATTGAAGAACCATCGGATACTGATTTAGATGATCAAATGGTCGATGAGGATGATGATGATGCTGTTATAATATTAGAAACTGATTGTAAATCAAATCCTATCGAAACATATAAAAATTATATTGATTCCATACAAGATCAACCAATGGAATAATTGTTATTATATTTTTTTAAAATGAAATTTTCTTCTTTCTTTCTTTCCTAAATATCTGTAAATAAATACAAATAAACCATAATGATGATGATCGATAATCGATCCATTAATTATTTTTATATGTTTAAATGATCATTGGTGATATAAATTATTACTTTTTTTTGAATTATTCTATTTGATAATAAATAAATCGTATATCGATATAAAAATCAAACAAAAATCTTGCCTGATTGGTCATTTTTGTTTTAGTTCAAACACATTCATTATCATTATATTGTCATATAAATTATTCTGTCGAATTTGAAACTGGCAGTAAATTGAATTCTGTTTCACTTATTCTGTTGTTCTTGACAACAGCAAAAGCAACAATTAGAATGAGAGAAAGGGAGAGATTTATTGATTAAATTACTAAATAGATCAACAATAATGGCAAAACAAAACAAGATTAAAAATGAGAAATGCTAATGTAAAAGTAATTCTATTTTTCTTCAATTAAATTGCTATTTCAAGGTTTTTCATAGTGGTTATTATTGTTTATCGAATATATTCAAATGCCAAACGGCTTTATTGAAAAAAAAATCTGTCATTCACCTCAGTAACATCAACAAGAAAAACAACTATTGATCTGAAACTGCAGTCTAACGATGTTTTTGTTGAAAAAAAATTCTATATAATCATTTTATCAGGCAGAAAAAAACACAAACAAAAATCGAACACGTCACCTTAAATCGAACAGAATCAATCGATTCCATTCCATTATATATGATTAGATGTTTTCTTGAATCAATCAATCAATCGATCGAAAAGAAACATAATATTATAATCTATCCAATTGTTTCAAATTGAAGAAAAATATTTCTTTCATCTAAAATCAAAATCATCGACAAAATCAAATAAAACAAAACATTTATCTGATGATAGATTGAAAATAACTATGGATATGAACAAACATACAGTCACGCTACAGTGAATTCGAAAGAATGATAAATTGGAAATTGTAAATATGATGAATACGTTTGCATTCATTATGAAAAAATCATTCAATCATCGATGAATATAGACCGAATCAATACGCAATGTAAACTTCTTTTTTTAATGAGAAAAAAACCACTTTTTTGGGCATTGATATGTTATTTTAAAAAAAAGAAATTCTATTCTATTCTTTGTCTTTTTTTCATGTGCAATGTCTTGGTTTATGTCAACATTATATTCAATTTGAAATGGTTATTATTATTTTGGTTATTATTTATTTTGCACGATTACTGCAATAGATTTCTATTAACTATTGGCGTAAATGTTTTTCTTGAATTTTTGATTACATAATGGACAATCAATGTTAACGTTTGAGACAAATGAAAATTATGCACGGAATTTTTTTCTTTTCATAATAGTTTTTCTTATTGTTTTGGTTTTTCGTCGTTTTTTTTACTCTTGGTCTCATTATAATAGAATTCGAATGGTAATTTGAGAATGTTATTTATCGATTGATCGATGATTTAGATTATAGTGTTGAATTTCAGATAATTTGATTTTCAATCAACAATCAATTCATCATCATTTATAATAATCATTATTATTATTAAATGAAGAAAAAAAATATAAACTATTTTATAATTTTGTACAAATCATTATCTCCAATTCGATTCAAATTTTACTCTAAATATTTACATAAAATATTCTTGTTAAAACTTTTGTTTTCCGAATCGAAATACTTCCATTTTCTTTTACATTTTTTCCCCGTCAACAGCATCAATCTACAATAAAAACAAAAACAGAAAAAAACTAAAATCAACGATATTTCATAACAAATTTCAACAAAAAAACAAAATAATGTATGTGGTATTCGAGATAGAAACCAAAACAACAAAAAAAAGTCAATTATCTCTTTTTTCTTTCTTTCTTTCATCATTATTGTCGTCATTATTAGATAATCTTTATTAAATGGAAAAAATTCTGTTTTGATTTCTTTATTTTCAACACAAAATATTGAACAATAACAACAACAACAACAACAATCGAGAAATAACAACAAAAAAAAATTAATCTGATTATTTTTTTCCATTATTTTAATAAAATAATCATCTTTATTATCACAATCATGATGACGAAAAACAACCATTAAAAATTATCAAACATATTGAATTGGCCAGAATATTCTTTCACTGTTGTTTGTGGTAACTAACAAAAAAAAAAGAATTCGAGCATCAATGAGAGAAACCTAATTGGTGAATTTTTCATTCCATTTAGGTAATATTTCGGTTTTTCCCTCATTCTATCGAAAACAAAACAAAAAATTCGAAGAAAAAACAAGATAAAATATAATAAGCGATTAAGTTTCTGGTATGTACTATCTATAATTTCTTATTGTTCATTATGTACCAGATATTCATGGTTTTGGTTTCTAGAACATTATTTTATTATCCATTAAAATTCATTCATTATGAAATGATTACTGAAACAGATCAGTATTTGATTTCATTGAACTAACGAATAAAAAAAACAACAACAACAAAATTGTAATCTGATTCCAATTCTTTCAAAATACTTGATTCATCAGTATTTCTAAAGAAAACTTCATCATCATCATTCGGCATTTAAAATTTTATTGCTGATAAAAATTTTCCACTTTTTTTCAATCAATTACCTAGTGATTCTATAGAATTTTTTTAGTCTCCTAGCAATAGTTTATTTTTTTTTTAATTTCTGCAACCCGAATATGTTAACAAGTGATGAAAACAATTCATTTGCCTAATTCATTGATAATAATAATAGAAAATAAAAGTAGCAGTAGTTGATTCTGTTAGGTGGTTGTTGCGCAAACATAGAGATAAAGCAAAAGTAACAGAGAAAAAATGGTGCTTTCTGGATCGATTCTGGTTCACGTTTGTAGTCATTTGTCAGATGCTGATGATAGTGGTGTTTTTATCATCTTTTCATTGGAGAGCAAGAAAGATAGAGCGAGAGAGGCTTGCACCGTCGCATATTCTTGAATCATTGGAACAACCAGAATGAAAAAAAAACAACTCACCAAATAATATATTACATCAATGGGATCCATTCGTTTTATTTAGTTTATCAAAAATTATTTTTTTCCTTTAAATATAAATACAATATATGTACAGTGTGTACAATCATTCTGGAAATGAGAAAAAATAAATGAATATAGAATGTGATAAAATAGTATTCATCACCATGTTATATTTTTTTTGGTAGATAGATAGATAGATAGTGAGCTGTTGGAATCGAATGCAAACAACACGACACATTTTTTTTCAATTTTAGTTTTTTTTTATTGATTCACATTTTTTTTTGGTTCCAAAATTCTGATTCAACGAACGCACAAATTTTTTTTCTCATCATCATCATCATTGATTAAAAAAAAATAAAACACGAAACAAATGTTAATGACAACAATATTGAACATGTTTGCAAAATAATTATCAAAGATTTTGTTATTCATCATCGATCAATCATTTCAATCTTGAAACAAAAACTTATTTGACAATTTTCTTATGAAATAAATTTAGAAGATTATTCTTCACATTAAAACAACTAAAAATAAAAATATCAGAAACCGGAAGCTAGATTGTCGGTATATGTAAAGTGTGTGGAGGAGTGGTTTGCAAAAAATAAAAAAAAAATAAACAACAAGATGAAAATGGCCACTAACAATTTGACGACAATGACAACGAGCCACAATAACAGCAACGACATTAATGATAATGATAATGACAATAATTTCAATTCGGAAAATATATCCAAAACAATAACGACAACATCGACAACAACAACCACAGCAACAACAATGATGATGATGACAACAATTTCATCAAATAAATTATCAATGGATCAAAATAATGATGATAAAGAATTGATTGAAAAATTATTACGAATGATTAAACGTGAAGTGAAACAGATTATGGAAGAAGCTGTAACAAGAAAATTTGTACATGAAGATAGTGGAAGTATTACATCATTATGTGGTAAGTTAAAAATTTTGAAAATTTAAAAAAAACAAAATATTTGAATGAAAAAATAAATTAACAAATAAATTAGCGGCCGTCGATGCTTGTCTATCGCATGGACTAAAACGACGTGCACTTGGCTTATTCAAAACAAATTCAACAACAGCATTATTACAAAAAGTAGCAAAAAATTTTGATATCGCTGCATTGGTATTGAAAAAAGTTCAAGAAATTGAAAATATTGATCCAAATAAGTATGTTTTTTTTAATATCGAGAGTTTCGAAATGATTTTGGTTATAATTTTTTTAAATCTTACTTATAATCCATATTTACAGACGATCATCATCAAGTAGTGATAGTTTACAAAGTCGTAATCGTATGTCATTCAAAATGAAATCAAATCAACAACAACAAACATTAAATAACAACAACAACAACAATAATACGGGAACAATATCATCAAATAATAATAATAGTAATAGTGGTGGCAGTGGCAGTGGTGGTGGTGGAAATCAATCATCATCACCGACAAAATATCGTTTTCTTTGGATAAGAATTGCATTATTTGAAAAATATTTAGTATCAATTGTTGATCATGTTGTTAAGAATAGTTCAAAATATTATGAACGTGATGCATTAGTATCGGATCCTGTTGCTGGACAAATTTTTGCATCCTTATTGGTTGGTCCTTGTGCATTGGATTATACCAAGATAAAAACGCAAGATCAATATTGGACAGATCCACCAGCCGATGAATTAGTACAACGTCATCGTATATCATCATCAGTTTGTTTACCAAATCCAGTAACAAATAATTCTGCAGCCACTGGAATCAATCAATCAACACCACCATCATCTCGCCGACCATTAGGTATGAATTATAGAAAAAATTTCACCTATACCAATGGTGTTGGCAATGAACAATATCATCATCATCATTATTATCATCATAATTATGATGAACATCAATCAGGATCGCCAATATTACGTACATCATCAAACATATGTTGGTCACCAAAAGATTATGTTGAATCATTACATCAAAATTCTAAATCAACATTACTTTATGGAAAAAATAATGTTATCATGCAACCGGTATGTGTAATGTTTGTTGTTTGTTATTTAAAACAAACATCATTTAATTATTGAAAAATTTTCAATTATTATTTCATTCAGATCGATGATCAAGAACCAATGCCCGGTTATCTATCATTGCATCAAGATTCAAATGGTCTTAGTATCAAATGGACACCGAATCAATTGATTAATGGTCGAGTTAATCAGCCATCATCGGATGGAAATAATGATGGTTTTTTTAATCATTCAATGGATAAAACGTATGATATTGTTTTTTTATTATCCCATTTTGTTGTATATCAAATCTTGTTAGTCAATAGTGAGAGTTTTTTTTCTGCTTAAAAAATTTACTTTTGCTTGAATGAATTTCATACATTTTTATAGGAGTGCATTCTGGAACTATGCTTTGAATGTTAACGTGGAAAATATTGTCTATCTTCATTGTCATCAACATAAATTAAGCTACAGTTCGATTGTAATGGTTGGACGTGATGGTGTAATGCATCCACCGATAAAATTTCCAAAAGGAGGTCATCTTTTGGCATTTTTATCCTGTCTAGAAAATGGTCTTGTACCATATGGACAATTAGATCCACCACTTTGGTCGGAAAATGGTAAAGGTTTGTTTTTAACAAATTTCTATTTTAATTTCAAACAAAACAAAAACAATTTTCAAGACAAAAACAAAACAAATTTATTAAAATCAGGAAAAATTTTTCCCAAATTACGACGAAAATCAGGACATCATCATAATGGTGAACAACGAAATGATCAACAACAATCATTAGATATGGAATCGGATGATATTACAGCCGATTATGTTTTTCGTGTCATATCGATTAATGATAAACCGGATACAATTAGTGCAGAATTATTCGAACCAAAGTTAACACAAAAACAATCCGAATTTTTGCCAAAAAGTTATGATGAAAATCAGCCACACCAACAACAAAAACCTGAAGCATCGCCATCATGTCAACAGATTGAAATTGCAGTGAATGAAACGAAAACTGAAATCGAACAACAACAACAAAAATTTGATAATATACAGAATATTCAATTATTGTGTAATACAATGAAAAAACAAATTATATCAAGAGCATTCTATGGTTGGCTTGCATATTGTCGTCATCTAAAAACAGTACGAACACATTTAGCCGATTTAGTCAATACGAAAATATATCGTATTAATGAACCAACAGATGCATCAAAAGGTATAACAAAAGATTTATGGGAAAATCATATGTTCAGTTCCGTTGGTAAAATATCGATGGATCCAATGGAATTTTATCGGCTAGTTTATTTTGGCGGTATTGAACATTCAATTCGTTCAAAAGTATGGTTATATCTTCTTGGACATTATCATTTTGATGATGACAATGAAGAGAAAAATAAACATGATATTGAAATGCGTGAAAAATATGAAATGATTATGTCGGAATGGTTAGCTGTTGAAGCTATTGTACGACAACGAGATAAAGAAATTGTTGCAGCAAATCTAGCAAAATTATCTTCAGAAAGTCAAAATGATAGTACTGAAATGTCAGTAGATAAATCAATATATCATCAATCGAACAAAATGTTCACGAATGAAGTTTTTGAAGAAAATGAAGAATTTGAAAGTCGAAAGTCATCGATTCAAAGCAATTCCGAACAAAAAAATATGAAAGAAGCTGAATGTCCGATGGTAACCGATGATATTGATGATAATAACAGAGAAAATGAAAAAATGATCATTGAAACAAATCATACAACAAGCAATTGCCGAAAACCATTGATAAGACATAATAAAATTAGTGAATCAGTGACAAGTGCAAGCAGTATTACTAGCATTCATCATCAGAATATTATCATCACAAATCCATCGGTTGATCGTATTATACCACCGAATTCATTGGAATCATTAAATCATTATAAATCGAATGGCAACGAAGAAGATGAATCAACCAGATTACCTATCAATTCAATGGAATCTGGAGGTGCTGTTAGTAGTGGCGGTGGTGGTGGTGGTGCTGGATCACAATGTGTATCGCCAGCATCATCGAATGGAGGCCTTTATTCGGTAATAATATTTAATGTTAATAGCGAAAAAGATTTCAAATGAATTTTTTTTCAAAAACATTTTCATCCGATTTAATTCAATTTTAATCTTTTTGTTTTTGTTTTTTACCGTTATGATTTAGAATGAACTTCTTGATCTTTTTTCACTTAACTTACATCGTATTGATAAAGATGTACAACGATGTGATCGTAATTTTTGGTATTTTACAAAAGAAAATTTGGAAAAATTACGAAATATTATGTGTACATATGTTTGGGAACATCTTGACATTGGTTATGTACAAGGAATGTGTGATCTAGTTGCACCATTATTAGTCATATTTGATGATGGTAAAAGAATTTTTTTTTTAATATAAATTTTTTAAAATTGAATATTAATTCAATTTTATTTGATTTTTTTGAATAGAGGTATACACATATAGCTGTTTCTGTAAGCTAATGATACGAATGACTTCCAATTTTCCACACGGTGGTGCTATGGATACACATTTTGCTAATATGCGATCATTAATACAGATTCTTGATTCAGATATTTTTGAATTGATGCATCAAAATGGTGATTACACACATTTTTATTTCTGTTATCGTTGGTTTCTATTGGATTTTAAGCGAGGTAAAAATTTTATTTTTTAAACAAAATAGAAAATATTGAGAATTTAATTTTTTTAATGTTTAAATCAATATAGAACTGATTTATGCTGATGTATTTTCTGTTTGGGAAACCATATGGGCTGCCAAACATGTTTCATCATCATCATTTGTTTTATTTATTGCATTAGCATTGGTCGAATATTATCGTGATATAATATTGGAAAATAATATGGATTTTACTGATATTATTAAATTTTTCAATGGTAAGCTTAATTGAATATTTGATTACAAAAAAAAATGATGATCCATTGTTTGTTTGGATTATGCTTTTCAAACAACAAAAAAGAAATGGCCGAAAGACATGATGCAAAAGCTGTATTGAATATTGCCCGTGACCTGGTACATCAAATTCAAACATTAATGGAAAATGATAAATAAAAATTGAATCAATTTTTAAAATTGTGATTCATCATCATCATCATTGATTTTGTTTGCATTTTTTAAATATTCTTTCTGGTTTTTTTTTGCTTTTAATTCGTTGTGTTCGCGTGCTATATACATTTTATTTGCCAAAAAAAAATGCGTATTTTAAAAATTGAATAAAAAAATGACATTATTTTTGTTGTTGTTTTTGGAAATTAATCAAAAGATTTTATTTTTGAATTAAATTTTCAGAAAAAAAATGATCATGAAAATAATAAATGGAGCATGAAATGATTGTTTTTCTTAGCTCTAATCGAATAGACCGAAACCCATATCATCATCTTCCTCTTCTTCTTCTTCTTTTTTCTCTTCCTTTTTAGCATCACCGGCAGCAGCACCGGAATCAGCAGCGGCTGCTGCTGCTGGTGCTGCGGCAGCTGCACCACCACCCGATGGAACGGATGCTAATTTTTCCGAACCTATTTTTGTTGAAACAAAAAAAACAAACGTTAACAATTTTCGAAAAAATAAGCATTGAATTAATTAACAGAACAAACCTTGTGCAATCAATTCATCGATTGATTTTCCCTTTAATTCGGTAACGACTTTTGATAATTTTTCACCATCAACTTCGATACCGACACTGCTCAATATTTTGGTAATATCATCTTTTGATGGACTTTTATTACCACCCAAAACGGCTAACAAATATGCAGCAACGTAACGCATTGTTGATTTTTTAAGTCACTTAAATTGGACACGAAACGCTTTATGCCACAGAAAAAAAGTTTAAAATGATTTCGTAAAAATTTTGAAAATTTATTCCAAAAAAATTAAACAATGTAAATGATCTTTCAGCTCGAGTTGGTGAGTGAATGAAAAATATGAGAGCAACGTGTGAGAATAAAGCATGTGTGTGTGTGTGTTTGGGAAAAGGAAATCCAAAAATTTTATCCACATTCATGCCGATAGATGCCAGGATCATCGTTTACAACTTTGCCCTTCCATATAGAATGTAATCGATTTTTTTTTTTCAATGGCTGTTATATATTACACAATTGAATTGAATGATTTCCCCCGAATAGTTGCGCGCCCATTCCTTCTTATAGGTCTTTTATTGCTCACTCTTGTTTTCACCCATACAAAACACACACATACACCTTTGTGTGTAAATCAAAACAAAAATGTTGTTGTTGTTCTTGAATTCCATAATCTATGTCAATGGCCCGACAAAAAAAAATCGGCTGATAATTAATTAAATTCATTAAAAATTTGATTTGTTTTCTTTTTTTCTTCTAAATTTTGTGTGAAAAAAATAATAAACGAATAGTGAATTGATCCTGAAAAGAATGATGTTTTTAACCCGATTAACAACAAATGATGAATATTCGACTAAGAATCTCGAATCATCATTTTCTATTTTGATTATGATAAAATGATGCAAAATTATAGTGTTCAATCTCGTCGTAAACATTTTTACACATGTTCATTGTGTTCATACGTTTATATTACATTGGAATCATTACAAAAACATTATTTAAATGTTCATCCAGAAAATAGTTGCGATGCTAAAGAATATGATTCTGGTATTTTAAAAAAAATCATTATAACTAAATTTTTATTCATACTGGTTATCATTAATTTATTTACAAATGGAATTTTTTTCTCTTTAATTCTCTTTTGTCTTTTAATCTTAGATCCATTCGAAGATCCGTTAGATGATGATTTTCTTAATTTAAAATCATCGGATAATTTTCGTGAAAAATTACAAACATTTCGTGACAATAATAACGATCATCATACACAAAGTTCATATTACGGCAATAACAATAATAATCATACTTATTCAAATACTAATGATAGTGATCATTTAACCAAAACCAATAACAATCATTATAATCATAATAGTGATGAAATATTTGGAACTATAAATAAAAATCTAAATCATATTGTCGTTATTCAAGATAAAAAAGTACGGAAATCATCATCAAATAGAAAACAAAATGGTGGAAGAAAATATACCAAAAAATCTACGCCAATTTTAACAGCATTATCAACAAAGAATCAAAAATTTGAAACAATTTTAACTCCAGCCACTTTTATCGTTCAACAACAACAACAACAATCTAATTCAACAACCGTGCCTATAAATCATAATTCAATTTTATTTGATTCGAATAATCAATTAAAATTTCAAACAATTAATAACAATAATACAGGATTTATTGTGCAACAATCACCAGGAATAAATCTTTTGAATACTACAAACGAATTAGATAATAAGAAAAAAAAGAAGAAATCAAAAGGATTAGAAAAATCTACAAAGAAAAATTCAAAAAATCGTAAACAAGAAGAAAATAATATTAAGAAAAACGGTAAATATCAGTGTGATATTTGTCAGAAAACATTTGTCAACATGTATAACAAACGACGTCATTATGAAATGGTACATAACCAAATTCTACAGAAATTGACAACTACCGCTCAACAACAGCAATTACAACAACAGCAGCAACAACAACAATCACATCAGGGATTGATTCAGCACCAACAACATCAAAATCATCAACAACAATTACAACAACTACAACAACAACAATCGCAACAACAGCAACGAACATTACCACCTTCAGCTGTCCAATTTGTACAAACATTTGTACCAACATTAGCGACAACAAATCCATTTGCGGCAAATGCTGCTGCACAACAAATTCTAACAATATCAGCTGAACATGCTGCCGCAAATCCATCAATGATGATGGCTGCTGCTGCATCATCATCATCATTAATGGCAGCAGCCGGTAATCCAGTTGCCGCTGCTTTTCATCACCAACAACAACAGCAACATCTTCATACAACATCGTCCAATACGACGACGGAAAAGGAAAAGAAAACAATTCTTTGTGAAATTTGTAATAAAACATTTTCGACCACTTATAATAAACGACGTCATGATGAAATGGTACATGGTCAAAATTCTGGCCTACGTATGGCGCCAAAATATAAATGTTCATCATGCGATAAAGTGTTCTCATCAATCTATAATAAAACCCGACATGAAAATATTCATAAACCAATCAATGAACGTTTGAAACATATTTGCCCTAAATGTAACAAAGGTTTTACCACATCATTCATACTAAAATCACATTTGCAAAAAATTCATCAAATTCTTTAGAATATTATTATTCATCACATTTGAAAATTACACTAAACATTTAATTTCGAATCCATCATCATCACGACAATAAGGAAGAAAACATGTTAGACCAAATATATTTTGACTTATATTTCATTCAAATCGATGCGCACAAATGTCATTAATAAAAAATGAATGGCAGCTACTCTTGTTTTTTTTTCTATGGGTAAAATTTCTGTAACATAATTATTGGAAAAAATCCAGCCATTGAAACAGTATTGTCATGTGAAGTATGTTGTCAACATTTATATAATGAAGACTTATAAAAAAGAAAAGAATAATTTCATTCACCATCACCATTCATTCATCACGGTCTTCCGAATACACCTATATATTTTCTCACTACTGCTGGATCTCCTTTTTTTCACTGAAATGACATGAATGATTGACTCATCATTGCATTACACAAACACAATACAATCATTTAATATTACTTTTATAATAATGATGCTATTAGGAATCAAATAGCAAATCATTCCGTTTTTTCATCATCATCATCATCAACATACTCATAATCATGAATATTTTATAAATATAGATAAAGATTGGCTAGATTTTCATCATATGATCATCATTATTAATTAGTATAAAAGAAAAAAATCATTCATCACCATAATCTTGCACGTTTGCATCAAAAGAAAAAAGAATTAACCCAGATTTTTTTCATTTTACTCCTAAATATTCTTGTTTTTCTCACCATTCATCATTAATTGTCAACAGTAACAATAATAATATGATAATTTATTAAAATTACCTATTTTCTTCTTTTACTCACCCATTCAATTCGTCAATTACTTCGATTCTTGTTCTTTGTCATAATAATTTGCATACAAAAACAAATTTTTCGTTTGTATTCTTGATTCGTATCAAATTAAAGTAAAAAAAATGACTGAATGATGTTTGTTTTGATTTTTGGATATAAATATTCGACGGCTAACAATTCGAATTTTGGAATATATTCTTTCTATTTTTACCCAATTTGATCACACATGTTCCAATAGTTGAATGCATGCATTGAATCATCATGTGATCATTGTAAATTCTTGTTCAGTTTCACAAATAAAAAGTTTCATCGTAATCATGTCCTATCGAAATTTTATTCGTCATTTCAATCGAAATATTCGCTTGATAAAACCAACAACAAATAAGCTAATAAAATTTGAAAATAATGCTCGTTTGCTTCATCATCAACAAAAACATCAACCGGAAATTTTAAATGTTCCCGAAACTAAAGTTTCGACAATATCAAATGGAATTCGTGTAGTGACCGAAGATTCAGGCATTCCGACCTGTACGATCGGCTTATGGATTGATGCAGGTAGTCGATATGAAACACCAGAAAATAATGGTGTCGCACATTTTCTTGAACATATGGCCTTTAAAGGAACGCAGAAACGAACTCAAATGCAATTAGAATTAGAAATTGAAAATATGGGTGCCCATCTGAATGCCTATACATCACGTGAACAGACTGTTTATTATGCTAAATGTCTTCAAAATGATATCAAAAATTCTTTGGATATATTGGCCGACATTATACAGCGTTCAAAATTCGGAAAAGAAGAAATCGAACGTGAACGAAGTGTAATATTACGCGAAATGCAAGAAGTGGAAAATAATCTTCAAGAAGTTGTTTTTGATCATTTACATGATGTCGCATTCCGTGACACACCATTAGGAATGACAATTTTAGGTCCGATCGAAAATATCCAACGAATCAATCGTAATGATTTAATTAGCTATATAAATACACATTATAAAGGACCACGAATTGTTGTAGCTGGTGCTGGTGGTACTCATCATGATCAGATTGTTGAATTAGTTGATTTTTATTTTGGTGAAATGGATCGTGATGCATCGAATATTCGACCAGAACCATGTCGATATCAAGGTGGTGATGTTCGTTTAAATGATCCATCGATGAATCTTATTTATGGTGCATTAGCAGTTGAAGCTACCGGTTGGATTAATGCGGATAATATTGTTCTAATGATTGCTAACACATTAATCGGTTCATGGGATCGATCATTAGGTGGTGGCTTTAATAGTTTTTCTTATTTAGCACAAACCTCAATGCAAAAAGATCTATGCAATAGTTTTCAATCATTCAATACCTGTTATAAAGATACAGGATTATGGGGTGTATATTTTATTGGCGATAAAACGAAAACAAATTCATTCATTCAACATCTAATTCAACAATGGCAACAATTATGTACAGATGTTACTGAAGAAGAATTGGAAAGAGCTAAAAATCTATTGAAAACAAATATGATGCTACAATTGGATGGATCGACTCAAATCTGTGAAGATATTGGTCGTCAAATGTTATGTTATGGACGACGAATATCATCCATTGAAATTGAATCTCGTATTGATTCAATTGATTTAGATTATTTTAAAAAAATATGCCAACAATATATTCGAAATCGTCGACCAGTATTGGCTATTGTTGGTCCAACCGATTCAATCGAATCATATGATCATATTGAGCAATCAATGAAATGGTAGTAAAAAATAGTTCATTTATCTAGGTTTTTTTTAATAAAAAAAAAATCATTGCTGTTGTTTCCTTCTCCACCCACCATATTGTAATGAAATTTTCTTTTTTATCTAAAAACGTTATATTAAAAATGATTATTTTTCAATTTCATTTCAATTTAGTTGAGTGATTTTTTTTGTTGTATTTATTCTATTTCCATTTAACCCAATGTTTTTCTTTCTTTCTTTTTTTGATTTGATTTTTCGGATCGAATGTCTTGTCAACAAACGAAATAAATGCAAAAAAGTAGTGAGGGGATGGAAATAGGAAAATTGCAAAATTAGTTTTTTTTGTGTGTGTTTGCTGTTCGATAATATGCCAATCATTTATATGTATTTTTTGGCATGCAAATGAAAATTCGATGACCTCGAATGAGAAATCGAAAATTCCAGGAAAAAAAACAATTCTATTGTGGATTTTCAATTTTAATTATTTACTGTTGTTTTTTTTGGTTGGTTTGTTTGTTTGCTGTGTTAAGCCATTTAATATCCGGTTAGAAGCATCCAGATTTGAAAGAAAAAAATAGCACACATTTATCATTTGTTTTTTTTTGCCTGTGAAATTAATCACAAGGAATTCATATTCACGACCATAAGTTTGATTCAAATTTTCGATTTGAACAATTTGAATGTTTCGAAAAACAAAACAAAAAATTCTTTGATTTTTTTTTCTGGAATTCGATAACATTCGTCAACATTTTTTTCGTTGTTTACATTTTGGATTTTATTACAACAAAAAAAAAATTCCCTGTTTCCATTAAGTTTTATGAAATTTTTTTTTCTTTTGACCAAACATTCCAGAAGGAATAAATAATTATCCTTGGACTATAGCAAAAAACAATACAAAATTATAAAGAATGGCGCCAGTTAATAAATCAGTGATTAATAAACATGCGTATTATTTTCAAAACGATATACGCATGTTACAGAATATTACAGAATCGCAGAAACAGCAGCAACCCGAATATTTAAAAAGAACAACATTATAATCATCAGTGTGTCAGATCAGATCAGATCATCAAGTGATAAAGTTTACCATAAATTATTTGCAAAAAAATTTCAAAATTTGTTTTTTTTTTTAATTTGCAACGATTATATTAAAGTTTATTTTTCATCGAAATATTTATTAAAAAAAATCGAATAAATTTCAATCTTCAATTCAATTTGTTATCATTGAATCCTTGTGACATTGTTCAAATTTTTTTTTTTGGGTAAGTTATTTTCGATTAAAAATTTGGCATATTTTTTCCAAAATTTTTCATCAACGATATGAATTAATTTCGGAAAAATTGTTTATTACTTTTGACAACATATTTTGCTATGGCCATTAATGAAAATTATTATGATTATTATTGGCCAGAATTTTATAGTTTCGTTTAGAATTTCATTCGCGGAGGAAAAAAACATATCCACATCCATCCATCCATCCATTCTTTATTATATCCAGATAAAGTATGGAAAAGTTTAGTTTTTCCTATTTTTTCGGTTAATTTGCAAATTAAATTAAATTATCTATATACGTTGTTCAACTGTTATTTGTGTGATGATGATGACCAGAAAAAAAACGATAATGTGATGAGAAAATGAAATTTAGTTTCTTTTCATTATTTATATTAAAAAAAATATAATGATCACACAATATTATGATGATAATGAGTGAAAAACGGGTTGACCAGAATTGTGGAAATAATAATGATTTTTTTTTTGATATGAAAAATACATCTCTTATGATCTGCAATGCAGTGTAGATAATCAGGAAATCGAATGTTTTTCATTATCGAATATTTTTCAAATTTTTCTGGAAATTTCTGGATTTTATTTCAAAAAAAAAAATTACCAAAAAGTTTTCTTATCCTTAAAAACAAAGATAATCAATTAATTCGGAATTTTCGGTTCCAATTTTTGGTTTTAATCATATCGATTGATCAAATTATTTGTTTCGATAAGAAGAAAAAAAAATGTCAAACAAGCAAACATCGTTGTTGTTTTGCATCAATTTATTCATTACCCTAACCATCCGGCTTATATAACCTTGAACAATAAGAGTAAACAACATTGTTGAATTGAATTCACTATAATACAAAATTGATTGACATGACATGAAAATCTATTCTTTTTTTCCCCCAGTGATTCTTGATTAATAAAAAAAGTGTTTGTTTTCCAAATAACATTAACAAGTTAATCCTGTTCAATTTTTTTTGCAATATTCTCTAATCGAAGTTGATAGATCTTTTTTAAAAACATTTATGAAAGAATATTGATAAACACTGTTCGAAACAAATTATGACAAATGTCAATTTTTTTTATAATTTTGTTGCTGGTGTAGAAAAAAACCACCTTGGTGAGCAATCAAAAAAAAACGACAGAAACCAAAAATTACCGCCTGGTAACCACAGTGAATAATTTAGGCAAATGAATTTATTCTATTCAAAATCATTGTCACGAACAATTTTTTTTCGGATTGTTTTCTAACATTTTATGAAATCGGAATGAAATGATAGAAATCAAAATTGCATGAAATACATTTTGACCGAAAAAAAAGGGAAAAACAATGTGAAAATGAAAATAAATTAATGAAAGATCCGGTAAAAAAAAAGATTGATGAATGAAAGAATTTCAATGTCAAGTTTATCATGAAATATTATCGTTTGTGAATAAAAACTAAAGCAAATGACTGAAACAGATCTACCAAATCTAATCTTACTGATTTATGACTTTTTTTTGTCTTTGTGTTGATTTTCATCTAACATTTCATTCGACTATGAACTGATTAATTGAAATTTCCATTTTTGGCAGGTATTTTTTTCGGATAAATTTATTGGACAAACAAACATCATCAACATGTCAGTAAATTTCGGACAAGGATTAAGAAAATATTGAATTTTGTTGAAACTAAAGAAAAAAAATGAAACAAACAACAACAATGATTGATGAATTACCAATCATATATGTTGGCATGGAAGCATGTGTTGCATTCATAGCTATTATTGGAAATCTTTTGGTCATTATAGTGTTTATACAGGATCGACGATTACGTAAAGTTACAAATTTTTATATAATTAGCCTTTCATTTGCCGATCTATTAGTTGGATCAATCGGTATACCATCGGCTATAATGACAAAAATTGGTTTACCACGTGGTTCAATGAGATTATGTGTAATTATGTTAAGTTTATTGATCATATTATGTACGATTTCCATATTGAATTTGGTTGCCGTATCAATGGATCGATATTGGGCAATTCTACATCCATTGGATTATCATAAACGGATTTCCGGTAAATTATTTGTCAATTTCTATTGATTTATTTGAAATTGTAATCTTCTGATTTCATTAATCAAATTAATTAATTAATTAATTAATTAATTAATTAATGTATTACAGAGAAGACAGCATTGGCAATAATATTTGCATGTTGGCTAGTTGGATCATTAATCGGTTTATTACCATTATTTGGCTGGCATAATGAATATAATGATCGTTGTTATTTCATACCAACAATGAATTATAATTTTTTAATGTTTCTTTATTTTGCCACAATTGTGTTCCCTGCGATTATAATGGCCATTTTCTATATTCGTATTTATATCGTTGTTAAACAACAACTTAGAATGAATAAAGTATGATGAAAAAAAATGTTCCAAATAATTAATTATCTTTTTTAATTTAATGATAAATTTTTTTTATCTATCAACAACAATCAGGTTCGTCATCTAAGCATCAGTCATCAGGAATCAAGTTTTATTACCTCGAATAAAGTTCCTAATCTAATATCATTGGCAACGAAAACAAAGATGAAGAAAAAATTTTCAAAAAATTACATTTCAGATGTAATTGTTGAAGAAGAAGGATCTGAAAATAATAATAACTTGGATAGAGAACAAAATTCATCTATTGATATGATTAATAATGGAAAGAATATTGGTAGCCATGTATTTAAAAAACATTCATTACCACATCTTATTAATAGTAGATTTGATTATAATCATCATAATCAATCAAATAATATTGACCATACAAAATCCGAACCGAATAGCCGTAAAACAAGTACAATATCAATTAATAATCGATATAATCGTCCAATATCGATTATCGATTGTACGGGCAATTATAAATGTTCAAAATCAAAATGGCGTTCAATTTTAGCCATTATGAAATTTCGACGTGATGTTTCAAAAGTTTCTAGTCCAAATGATTCAATCGAAAGTATTGATTACCATTTTCAACAACAACAACAACAGCGTAATAGCTATTTTGTCAACAATAAATTAAGCTATAGCCGTCGTGAAGTAAAAAAAGCACAAAAATTATTCATAATCGTTTTGTTTTTTATGGTCTGTTGGATTCCATTATATACATCGAATGCATTCGAAGCATTCTGTCCACAATGTCCAAAATTACCTGCCAGCGTATTGGATTTTCTTATTATTTTATCGCATATCAATTCGGCTGGATCACCATTTCTATATGCATTCCATATGAAAGATTTTCGTCAGGCATTACGTCGTTTAATTTGTAAAGGAGCTTTTAATCAACGAAAACTTCGTGATTTACGCCGCGAAGAATTGTTCAATGTAAGTGTACAACAACAACAACGATCAAATTCTAATTTAAACCGAAATGGATCATCATCGCATACAGTTAATCATAATCATCAAACATTCGACAGAATGAATCCAAAAAATTCTGGCATAATACATAATCCTCAATTTGAACATTCATCGTCACATACAACATGTCATGAATCACTTGAACATATCTTCAATGCTATGACAACAACTATTCATTCAAATGTTTGTCCAAAATCATCACCATTAAAAACAAAAAAGACATCCAATCAACATCCTCATCAACAAAGACAACAAAAATATCATACCATGCCATTACTTTCGAAAGAATCGATAAATATTACAAATAATATGGATAAAAATCTTAGTATTTTAATCAAATAGTATTTTAATTAATATTATAATTTGTTGAAAAAAAACATCTCTTTACAATAACAATAAAACAATTCTTTAATCTAAAATTTCAATTATTTATTAGGAATAATTAATAATAAAGAATTTTTCAAAAAGAATAATTTCGAACATTTTTTTCAAAATCCCAATACAACCGTTTACATCCATATAGGTGTAAATAGCCAAAAGTGGATTCATTAATATAGGTAGTGGTATTGTGTGTGAATTTTAATGCGTTTGTAAAAAACTAAAACCATTGTTGGAATTTTTTTTTTAATAGTAACTTTCCTGGATTTTGGATCCAATGAAAAAGAGCACACCCTCTTTACACTGTGATTCGAACCACTTCTACAAATTTGTTCGTGCACTAAATGTGGTTAAACAAAAAACATCACATTTCACTTTCTTTTCTCAGCAATAAAATCATAACACAGCGATTGATTCACCAAAGATTCCGACCTCTCCCTCTATGCATGACAATTGCGTGTGTTGTATATGAGCAAAATTATGAGCAGCGAAAAAGAGAAAAAAAAATCAAATCTAAAAAATATATACGAAAAATGTTTGTATAGTGTGTGCGAATAGGGAAAAATTGAAAAAAAAATCGAATTTTTTTCTGTGGATTTTGGAAACCATCATAAATGATTAGTGAGATTTTTTTATTCAAATCAAATCTAAAATAAAAACAATATTTTCATTTTGAAATCTTAATATTATCTGTGTTATATTTTTCATCGTTAAAAGGTAAGAATCTTTAAATAAATTCGATTTCTTTCGGGTCAAACAATTGTCCTTTATTTTAATATCGAAAAAAAAACTGGTCAAGCTGAATGTATTGTGTGGTGCGGTGCGGCGTGTCCTTTTGTGTTCGATTAACGATGCTATGCAGCATTGTGTGTATTGAATTGTGAGCAAGCCAAAAATAAGAGCCGCTCATTGATGACATGCACTAGCAGCCAAGAGGCCCGCCATCTTTTTTTCTCTGTATTTTTTTGTAATTTGGATTTCAGAAGGCGCCGCATGATTCGTATTTGTATTGAAGATTAGAATTCAAGAATCAATGATTTTTTGAATGGGATTTTTTTTTGAAAAAAAAATATTCATTTAGAATTGATTAGAGATTAATAATGTTTTTTGTATTATAAATTTGAATAAATAATTTTTTTAAATAAATGATAATCACATTGTTATATTCTTTGCGAAACACAGAATCGGATTCGTTCATTTTTTTCTAGTTATTGATAAATTCAAGTTTAGTTTTAAAATTCTTAATGGTGAGAAAATTATGCAGTTTTGTTTGGTTATAATAGTTTAATTTTTTTAAGCATGACGGAATATTTGTTACCGGATTAAACAACTATTCATTTTAGTTTTTTTTTGTTTGCAAAATTAGATTAAATCCGACAAAAACGAAAAAAGATTTACCTGAGAAATTTATGATTTTATTCAATCAGTTAAAAATTTGTTGCAGAATAAATCTAATATCAACTATTCAGGGTCGATTGTGGCCGTCGAAAATCGACATCATTGGCTAAGGCCAAACAAATGGCACAGCCACAAAAAGAAACAAATCTTGTCGACAACATCACCACTACAACAACAACAGTAACGGATGTGACCAAATCTCAATCATTCAATATTCATCATGATCAACCATCATCATCAGTATTGGTGGACAATAAAAACGATCCTGATTGTGGTTCGATAAAAATGGAATCATCCACAATTTCAGGTGATGTTTGTACATCATCGTCATCATCATCATCTCGTCAACAATCCGATTCAAAAGCCATCAATGATGATAAACATATGGATGGTGGAATTGTACTTGTTGATCAGGATCGAACGTTAGAATCTTCATGTTCAAAACGCAAACCTTCTCCTGATAATGATAATGACGGAACAGATAATCAACAACAGATATCAAAAGCCAACTCGTCATCGTCGAATAAGAGAATAAAAATCGAAAATGATTATGATGAAACAATAATGTCAACATCCATTTCATCAAATAATTTTGCCGAAATCGGTATTAAAATTGGTTGTGATAATAATAATGATGATAAAAATATCGACGTTCAACGTGATTCGCCATCGACATTTGAAATTGATGATAATAAAATTATCGATAATAATTCAAATAATGATGAAGTTAATGATGCTCAAATATTAGATTATTATGAAAAGCTTCTTGATGATATGGAACAAGAATGGCTAGAAGAAATGAAAGAATATTATTACATGGTTAATAATGTTGGAATCTATATCGATTATCCAACCATGAAAAAACGTCTCGATCCCATCGGTTTAGCTAAACAGCTTGTTTATATTTGTGAATCTTATGACGATGATGACCATTCTAGACCATGTGCACATCGTCTTTTGACAAAATTAAATCCTCAGCTATTCTATGATGATATATTAGAGATGATTCAACATTTAACCGCTACGACCGTATCGTCTGCTATGATAACGATAACACCACCTCTTACACCATCAACGATCGGTTCAACGGATGCCGGTAAATGTCATACATCAACAAACATCATCAGTACATCCGGTGTTAATGAACCTCCATCGTCATCAATGTCAACAACAACGTCCATAAAATCCGAACCAATTCATCAATCATCAATTGTTTCGACAATGACATTGATCAATTCATCGGGTAAGAATCAATCAAATTCAACAGTATCATCATCATTACCTTTATTAGATGATAATTCTCAAGTTGCTAGTCCTAAAAGTATATCGAATATAAATGATATGTCCAATACAATCATCAATGAACCTAACCTTAATAATACCACCACAATCGCTAACGATATCGCCGACAGTAGCAACATCAAAACATCTTTGGCAGTGGCCAAAAAGCTTTCGATCTCTTCATCATTAGATAATGAATCCAGTACCGAACAAATGGTTGAACGAGCTAAAAAAGAAGCCTATGTAATGAAACGTATTGCTGAGCTTCGAAAAAATGGTGTATGGTCAATACGACGATTGCCTAAAGTACATGAACCACCACGTTGTAAAACTCATTGGGATTATCTATTGGAAGAAATGCAATGGTTGGCAGCTGATTTTTTTCAGGAACGTAAATGGAAACGAAACTCAGCAAAGAAATGTGCTCGGCTATCGCTGAAATATCATGCATCGAAAGAATGTCAAGCCGAACGTATTGAACGTGAAGAACAATCAAAATTGAAGCGTATAGCATCAAATATGTCCAAGATGATTAAACAATTTTGGGCGGAAATTGAAAAAGTTGTTGAAGCTAAACAAGAAGTACAACTGAATGAGAAACGTAAAAAGATTCATGATATGCAATTGCGATTCATTGTAGATAAGGCCGATTTATTAACTGAAAAATTAGCTCAAGAATTGATTGTACCTCATAAAACATCCAAAGCATCATCAACATGTTCAGAAGCTGATCCATCAGAATCGGGTGTGACGAAAATCGATTCTTCAATCCATAAACAATCAAAAAATGAAAAGCGATCAGATATCGATGATCAGGACGTAGAATTTGAACAAGGTAGTATTTGTTCGGATGATGATGAAGAAACTATTGCCAAAGAAGAAAAAGATTGTCAACAAGCTGATTATGCTGATGAAATCAATGCATTATCAAACGAATCCGAAATGCCCATTGAACAATTATTGGCCAAGTATTATAATATTGATGCTGATGATATTGATCTCTCACAACTACAAAAACAGCATCAGAAAACGGAGGAAAAGCTTGACGATAAACATGGACAACAAAAAGATGATGATATGACAACGGTTGATGATGAAACGGAAAACAATGATGATGATGATTTGGAGACAGCTGATTCTGAAGATGAAACTAGTGCTATGAAAAAACAACAAGATGATGATGATGAATCAATGATATCTGAAATTGATAATAATCAGCCCGAGGAAGAGGCAGATACCGACGATTCAGATGAAGATTCTGATTTTGATGAAAATGATAATGTTGATAGTAGTTTCTTGATTCAACCTGATGACAAAAAGGTATGTTTGAATTCCACTATTTTCCTTTCATTAATAAAATTCTGATTTTTTAAGGATGATAAAAAAGCTGAAACAACGGATGATGAGTTGAATAATATTGCTGCCGGTGCTCAAAGTATCCAACCTAAAGGAAATACTTTTTCATCAGTACAAGTAATCAATAAAGTACCATTTCTGCTCAAATATCAGCTTCGTGAATATCAACATATTGGTCTTGATTGGCTGGTTGCTATGTATGAGAAAAATCTCAATGGAATTCTTGCTGATGAAATGGGTCTTGGTAAAACGATACAAACGATCGCATTGATTGCGCATTTGGCTTGCGAGAAAGGCATCTGGGGACCACATTTAATTGTTGTGCCAACAAGTGTTATGCTCAACTGGGAAATGGAATTCAAAAAATGGTGCCCGGCAATGAAGATAATGACCTATTTTGGGAATCCAAAAGAACGTCGTCTAAAACGGAAAGGCTGGACAAAACCAGATACATTTCATGTATGCATTACCTCATATAAGCTTGTGATACAAGACCATCAATCATTTAGGCGTCAAAAATGGGTGTATTTTATATTAGACGAAGCTCATAATATTAAAAATTTTAAATCCCAAAGATGGCAAATGTTATTAAATTTTAATTCTAAAAATCGTCTCCTATTGACCGGTACACCGTTACAAAACAATCTTATGGAATTGTGGTCCTTGATGCATTTTTTAATGCCCAAAGAATTTCAATCACATCGTGAATTCAAAACATGGTTTGACAAACCAATGACCGGTATGATTGAAGGCCAAAGTGATTATAATGAAGATTTGATAAGGCGTTTACATCGAGTATTGAGGCCATTTTTGCTACGAAGATTGAAACGTGATGTCGAAAAACAATTGCCAAAAAAATATGAACATATTGTTCGATGTCCATTGTCTAAAAGGCAAAGATTCCTTTACGATGAGTATATGTCATTGGCAAAGTAAGTTATAAAGATTTTTTTCATCAAAATTTCATTATAATCACATTTTGCTTGATTTCAATTGCAGTACAAAAGAAACTTTGGCAAGTGGCAATTTCCTAAGTGTGATCAACATATTAATGCAATTGCGAAAAGTTTGTAATCATCCCAATCTGTTCGAAGTAAGAAAAACCATCTCTCCGTTCATCGATGATGGTCTACAAATGAATTTGCCAGGAATATTCACCACCATCAAAGACCATGATCCACTTAAAAAAATTAATCTTCATTCACATTTGAATCTACTATTTTCTCATCTGCTAAATGATTCATATAAGCAAACGCAAATATTGAAACGTTATTATGATGCGTTCAAAATGAAAGATGTGATCAACAAAAAAGAGGATCAGATTTACGTTCGCCTCAGTGATTATAAAGATTTCCATCGTTTCATGAGAAATATTCGTATGGTGAATTCATCATCAAACACTCCTAATCATCTGAGACCACAATTGGCACTTTCCAATCATATATTTCCAGTTGTTAATGCCAACAATAATTCTAATAAGCCATTAATTCGTTCGACAAACAATCAGATTCGAATTAAAAGTCTTGAAAGTTCAAAGGGTAAGTAACAAGTAAAATGATTCATTCTCTTTTAATATTTTTTCATTATTCAAGTCATTTCTACGTCAAACAATAATCAAGCACTGCTAAAATCCCCCCAAATCAATGTTAATTCACCTGACAAGAAAATCATCAATTTTTATTGTAAGTATTGTTTAAATTTTTCTTTAACAAGTTTTTAAATTTTTTTAAATTTTCTGCAATATAGCACATATCTATATCAATCCTGGATCGCGTGATTCGCCTAAAATTGATCGCGATAATGTTAACATCGAAATTCGTAAATGTAATGATGAATCTAAAGAAAATCATGATAAATTATTTGGTAATGGAAAATACGCTTGTGAAGAAACTGTTCAACGTTTAAAAACATTATTTAGTGAAAAATTGAGACGTCTAGCATTAAACAATAAATCACGTTGTCAAGGTTTCGCTCGATATTGTACAGATTTTTTCGAATTATTTGATTTTTTTGGCCTCAAAGGAATCGTTAATTTTATTCCATGGAATAAAATTAGCGATGAAAATGATGAAGATAAAAAAGTCAGATATTCGAAAATGCTATTTGGCTCATCATTTATCAACGGTTTGACTTTAGTTCGTCGAAGTCAGCATCTTAAAGATGGTGAAGAATTTGATCGGAATGATCTTTATTACATCACTCAAAATCTTATTCAATTGGTCGATTCACCGAATTCATTGGCCAAGAATCTCGAAGAGCTAATGAAATGTTTTATTTTCGCCGTTCCCGGTGTTCTATCACCAGTTCCGCGTCTCAACTTGTCAAATGTTAAATCCTACCAGAAAATTGATCGATCCACTTTAATAGACGATTTAAGACAAAAAATTTCCATGGATAAATTTGATTTGCTCACGATTCCTCGAGTTCAATTTAGTCTTCAATTACCCGAAGCAAGGTTAATACAGTATGATTGTGGTAAACTTCAAATACTCGATAAACTTTTATGGCAATTGAAATCTGGACGTCATCGTATATTGATATTCACACAAATGTCACGGATGTTAGACATTCTGGAACAATTTCTAAATTATCATGGCCATACATATCTACGTTTGGATGGTACTACCAAAATCGATCAACGACAAGCATTAATGGAGCGTTTTAATGCAGATCAGCGAATTTTCTGTTTTATCTTATCCACACGTTCCGGAGGCATTGGTGTCAATTTGACAGGTGCCGATACTGTGATATTCTATGATAGTGATTGGAATCCAACAATGGATGCACAAGCACAAGATCGTTGTCATCGTATTGGCCAAACACGTGATGTACATATTTATCGTTTGGTCAGTGAACGAACGGTCGAAGAGAACATACTGAAAAAAGCTAAACAAAAGAAAATGTTGGGTGATTTAGCTATCGAAGAAGGCAATTTCACCACTGCATTTTTCAAACAAACTGCCATAAAAGAGTTATTCGATGTTGGTGGTGAACAAGATATGAATGAAGAACCGACCATTAGTGAACCAGTTGAAGTCGTAGAACTTGACGATTGTTCGGCTGTTGATCCTGCTCCTATCACATCCTCATCTTCAAACAATAACGTTATGTCGTCATCATCGGCACCGATACCGAATGCAGCATTTGAACAGGCATTATGTACGGCTGAAGAAGAAAATGATGTTACAGCAGCTAAAATTGTTCGTGCCGAAGTTGCAGCTGAATTGGATGAATTTGATGAAACCATTCCGATTGAAGACATTCCTGATGAAAAGAGTCCCGAAGAAGAACAGATTGAAGAATTGATCTGTCAGGTATGTTATATGATGACCAAAGTTTTGATCAAATATCTAAAAGTATTTTTTTTCTATTGTTCCTGAAGCTCACGCCAGTTGAACGATATGCATTGAAATTTATTGAAAGTGCCCAAGATTTCCATGAATTGAAACAAGCAGATGTGAGTTTTTTGTTCATTTCATTTTATCAAATCTAATAAATTTTCGTTGCAGGAAGAGATGGAAGAGACCAAAAAACAATGGCAAAAATCGATAAATGATTGGAAAAAAGATCAAGAAGAATTACGTAAACGTGAATTAGAAGAATTAGAAGATTCCATTATGACATGTTCTCGAGACAATTGTTCCATTTCAAAGGTTAACCACAATGATCAACATACACATTTAATTCACAGAAACACTCACAAAAACAATGATAAGATTGCTATGAATAGGCGAAATACTAAACTTTCACGTAATATCACAACTCGAAGGTCAAACAAAAACATCAAAAATAATCGAAATCAACGAAAAAATCAACTCAATAATAGTAGTAGTAATCATAAGAACTCAAAAAACCGTCGCTCTAAACAACCTGTTGCTGATGTTACTAATGATGATGATGATGATGATGATGATGGTGATGAGGATAAAGATGATGGTGAAGACGATGATTCAGAATCCGAAACAGATAGTGATTCTGAAAGTGATAATTCATATGATAATAATCGCCATGTTCGACGATCATCAAAACAGATTAATAGAATGAGAAATAGAAATCGTGTCAAAACTAGCAATAATCTATCCACAACGATAAAGCAAAGCCGTACTAATGATAAACGAATATCAAGATCGAAATCTTTAATCAATTCGATGACAAATGATCGCTCTAAAAGAAAATCAGTAAATCCATTAGATTCATCAGTCAATGATGTTAATGATAGTACCGTTGTTCGTACGCGGCAACGAACTTTATCATCATCTTCATTGATTATGAATACCAAAATTGAACAAAGAAATGGTGATGTCTACAATCACAATCAAATGAATAGTACATTATCATCACCGAAACGTGCTTGTAATAATAGTGGTAGAATTCTTCGAAACAATTCTAATTTATCATCACCATCATCATCATCATCGAAAAATCTTAGAAATCATCATTGATAATGAAACAAAACATACCCCAGTGTTACCAAATGATACTATGAGTAATCATCATATATTTTAATTAATTGAAATATTTTTTTTTTTGGGAATCTTATTCGTTGTATTTGCCCCACATATCTTTGAATATTTGACTTTCGAGAATCTCATTTCGAACCATGAATAGAACCATTGAAAACTTTTCCTTAAATTTTTCCATTTTTCATTATATTTTGTTCAATGTGTAAATAAATTTAGCCAAACAAACAGACAGACACACACGCCAATGCAATCATACACAAAAAAAATTTGATTCTATCTTAACATTTTAATAATTCTGTATGATAATCATACATATACTCATCCATTCATTGAACAAAAAAAAACTTATTCGAAAAACTAAAAATAATTGATTGATTTCAATTATCGTTTCGGTTCATTCCTTCTTTCATTAGGTTACATTTTTCCCATTGTTTTTTCATCTTCCTATCTTTCTATATCAAATTCTCTAGACTGCATCAGTTCGAGATAGCAAGAGAAAAAAAAAGCGAGAGAGAATATATATCTTTCAAAAAGAAAACGTAGAAAACATGAGAATTATGTCTATTTGTTTTGTTTTGATTTGTGTGTGTGTGTTTTTGTGAATGGCATGAATTTTAAATCAAATACTTGACACTGACAGAAACAAACAAACAGACTAAAAAGACTAAATTCTTTCTTCCATTTATTTTCTTATTTTATCGGTAATTAGACAGGGTACACACACACCATTTACATCCAAGAAAAAAATTAAGATTTAATTTAGAAAATTGTCATTTTTTTCCACTAAATCACATACATTCATGTAGTAGAAATGAGATTATCAACAAGTCAAATATTTTTCCTCATCCTACATTTTAATGTTGTTTGATCGCCATCATCGATTCTTGATGATTATTTTGTTAGTCGCAAATTTTCATTTTTTTCAAAAATTTAAAAAACAAAAAATTTCAAATTTTTTTCCGCAACATCCGTATAAGTATATAGAAAATAGAATGAACATTCCATTTAAATGATAGAAAACACACATCACACAAACAAAATATAAAAAATTCATGCCTTTCACTTGTTTGATTGATTGATTCTCATGATTTCTTTTTGTCTCTCGTTTTCTTTTGTTTTTTTCTCTCATTTGCTATTTATCTCTTTACGAACAGGTGTTCATGTCGTTCAACTGTTCCGAACCGATGCCGGTAAGTGTTGTACCCATTCGAATTGAATTTTCTCTTTTTCTTCCTTTTCCTATAATACCCCCTATAATTTGATGAAATTTTTCGTATAAATATATTTCGTTCTTACGATAATGTATGTGTGAGATCTTTTGTAAGAAGTTATTATTGATTAGTGTAGGATTAGGGATTAAGAAACCGAAACGATTTTGATCGATCTATTTATTTTGGTTTTTTTGAATACTTTCATTCAAAAAAAAATCGATATACATCACACACCACTACATATTATATAGAGACACCATATTATCAATCTTTTAATGATTTATTATCATTGTAAATAAATAATAATGATTATAAATATTACAATTATTTTTCTTTGATTATTGCTAAATTTTTATTAATCAAAATTGTGTGATTCGACAATGACAGAAAAAAAACAACAACAATTGATAATGATGATTGTTAACAACTTTTTGTATGTTTTCTATCACCATAATCATTTTCCGAATTTCTTTTTTTTTCTTTTTTGGATTCTTTGTGGCTGTGTAAAATAAATATAATGATGATAATCGTGAAATTTGAATTGCAAAATAAATTCTTATTTTTTCCATTCGTGTTTTGTGTTTTAATTTCAACAAGCAATAATTTGTTTGTTTTCGACCCTTTTTCCCCTATTTACTATTCCTTTTTTTTCCATTCGAAATCCTATTGGAATTTTATGATTTATTTTGATTAAAAAAAACACGACAAATTCCTTTTTTTTCAATTAATAGATCTGGGCACCACCTACCCCACCACAAGATGAAAATGATTTCTACATTGATTATTCATTTGGTTTCTCTTATGAGAAAACTCTTATGGCAGAATCACAATTACCGCCTGTTTATATGCCTAAAGAACATAAACGTATTCGTATTGATCCATTACATGGTATGATTTTATTTTTCAAAATTTGATAATTATTTGAATAATAATTCGTTTGTTTGGAATTCATTTTTTTATAGCTCGTAAATATCCTTATTCATCTAGTGGACAAACATCGCTTACAAAATCAGGTGGACATCGTCGTAGTGATGATTTATTCAACATACCAAAATCATTATTTGATCGTTCTGTTGGTCGTCATCGGCGTGAAATTCTTCTTTTCAAATCAAAACTTTGGCCTGGAAGTCAGAATCTTGTGTCGATTAGTAACAAAGCTATAGCGAATATTGATTCGATGCCCATACAAAATCTTTCGACAGCTTTGTCTCGATCTCAACAGAATATATTTGTGAATAGAATGCCCGAATGGACAATCAATGAAGATTATTCCATTATTTATGTTTTACTTTTTATGCAAGAATTACCATTCAATCTAAGCGTAATCTATCCCGGTCATACACCTAATTGGGATTTTGTCGCTGATCAAGTAAATGCATTTAATTGTTTTAAAAGATCTTCAAAACTTTGTCGCTACCATTTCGAAAGCATCATGACCGACAAAGATGATCAGTCAAATTTAGTTGGTGGTAATATGGTTGGTGTTCAGGGTACTGGTCTGGTCCCCGGAGTTATTGGTGGGGGCTCTGTTAACGATCAGATGAATTCTATCAGATCGGGAACAATGAAACAGACAAAATCATCGAAAAAATCGGCAAAACAAGCAACGTTGAATCAACAGCAGCAAATGATTCAACAACCACATATGTCATCAAATATGATGCCAATTATGGCTAATATGCCACCACCACCAATTATGGGTGCACCTGGTCAAATACCAAATTCAGTTACTGTTCAAGCTAATCCATCATCATCCAAGCAACAAACACAAGCATTAAATCAACAAATGTTAACGGCTCAATTATATCGAGTATCGAATATGATGCAAAAAACAATCACTGATAATAATCTTGAGTTTACCAATCAAATGCATCGACGATTTGCCGCGATCAAACAGATCGTAATTCAACGAACACAAACATCGAAATCATTGTTCAAAAAACAGCAAAAGAAATATGATATGACTAAGATATTCAAAGATAATAAAATCGATTTCGATCGACATATAACCGTTGAAGAAGTTGCCGCTCGTCGTGCCGAACGTATTAATCGTGAAAAACTAGCTGCCCGACAACAACAGCAACAACAACAACAACAACAACAGCAGCAGCAACAACAACAACAACATCACCAGCATCAGCAGCAACAACAACATCACCAGCATCAACAACAACAGCAACAGCATCAGCATCAGCAACAGCAATCTGTCATGGCAGAATTTCATCAGGCAAAAGCAGTATTTCCTGCTCAATTTAGAGCTTATAATATACCGGTAGCCGCCAGTGGTACACCACCGCCACAGCAACAACAACAACAACAGCAAATGATGCCATCGCAACAATTTCATACGGTTGCTGTTAGTGGTGCTACCGCGAACCCACAATCGACTATTGTTATGGCTTCCGGTCAACAGCAACCTCAACCACAACAACAGCAACAGATTATATTAAATTCGCCAGGTCCGTCGGCACATGCAAACACGGCGACACCAACATTCATGCCACATGTGCAACAATTTTTAGCTGCAACAAAAGCTGGTGCAAAATTTCAGAATTTGGCAGCTGTTAGTGGCAGCGGTGATAATTCCGGTGGTGTTACGGATTCAAATCAATCACTCGCAAATATTCAAGCTAAAGTTCTTCAACAAAGTAATAGTGGTGGTCAATCATCATCTACGGCCATCCATCATGTATCATTGGCACAAGCTCAATCCATGGGACTTATATCACAAGGAGTCGCTTCCATTGCCACGATTAGTACTCCTCAACATCAACAAGTTGATACGAATCCTACAAATACTGTATCATTGACTCATCAATTGAATCAACAACAACAAGCTACAACGGCTCAGCAATTTATGATTCAACAAACATCAAACACTGGTACTAGCCAAGCAGTGCCGGTAAATGTTTCGATATCAGGTCAACAACAACAGCATAAATTTTTGGCCATTTCTAGTCCATCGGGATCATCAAATCCTCAAACAGCTAATCTAACACAGGTTACACCACAATTGATATCATCAAATCAAATGAATCGACAACCGCTTAGACATCATTTATTAGTTTCTCGAGGAGGAGCTCGACCACAGGTTGTTGCTGCTCAACATCATCCATCATCCGCATTGCAAGGATCTCCTGGTGTTCGTCATATTCATATGCAATCATTACGTGCCGCAGTAGCTCAACAATCAACAAGTGGTTGTGTGGTTCCATCGACAACAACCATACAGCCTACACAGCGATTGCAATTAGTTTCACAATCGTTAATTACTTCAGGTGTTGGTAATAATAAAATATTAGCAACATCATTAATAACTAGTTCAACAAATACATCTCAAACAACCAATACAATAATTGGACCTCAATGTATATTATCTGCATCAAATCAATTGTTGTCGCCAGTTTCATCAATCAAAACTATAAGCGGCAATAATGGTGGTGGCAATCCACAACAAGGACCATATATCCGTACGATTCGAAAAGATGCTACCGCTTCAATTGCATCATTGAAACCAAGTCCATTAGTATCTGTTTCAAATCCACAACAAACTTCATCAACATTAACAACATCTAGCATAATGACTTCAAGTGGACAACAATCACATGTTTTTGTTCAACAACAGCCAATGCAATCACATGAAGTCCAGCTCGCTCAACAACAACAACAGCAACAACAATCCTTAACGTTGACCGGAAATATCGTCAAAACCGTTCAAGGGGTTCATTCCTTCACTGGTAATGCACAAACATTTACAATACCAGCAAGTCAAGCAAGTAAAATTCTAAATCAATCATCAGCTAGCGGTCAGGTTCGTTATATTCAAAAACCATTGAATGTCGCTGGTAATAAACAAGCACAATTACAACAACAACAGACAAAACTGATACAACAACAATCGATAAATGTTGTTGGTGATCAACACGGATCACAACAATCATCTAATAATAATCAACGTTCGGCAAATATTATAACACCAATGTTCTCATCTCAACAACAACAACAAGGAACATCGTCAGGTCAATCAACATCATCGGCAACGAAGCCAAATTTTCATTTTGTTACATCATCAGCTAATGGAAGTCCTCATCATACATTAACATCGGTTCAACATCAACAACTATTGCAACAACATCATCAACAACAACAGTCACAACAAAACAAATCAGCAACATTATCATTACAACAATCTGGACCATTAAAAGGTTCGATCATTGTACAACAACCAAGTAGCAGTTCTGTTGGTTCTGCACATCAACAACAAAGTGGCAATGTAAGTAATTGCAACAAAATGAATTTGATTAAATTACAAGTGCCTCATTCATCATCATCTACATCATCATCATTATCTGATAATAATATTAATAATAATAATAGCCATTGTAATACAAAAATTCAGCGAATTAGATTTGTTGGAGGAAAATTTGGTAACAGTAGTGTTGGTACTGGTATTAATCCATCATCATCATCATCGGATACAATTAAATCATTATTATCCATTACAAAAGGTTCTTCAAATAAAGACAATAGAAATAAATTAAAACATCCACAACAGACACAAGATTTCAATAGTAATCGCAATGATGATGATAATAATAAGAATCTATCATAAGAAAACATGACCAAGATCGAAATATTAACCAAAATTAATAATCCTTTATTTTTGGATGATGGAAATTATTTATCGCATGTTTTGTATTTTTATTTTAATTAATTTCCTTTTGAATGAATGGATTAATTGAATAGATGAATCGGAATGCATGATCATGGCTGTCCGTACCCCCTCTCAATTCATCTTTTTTCCTCTTGAATCGCTATCAACTTTTTTTTTCTTCCGCATCATCCTCAAACTGACCAATTCAAACAATACAAATCAATTTCTATCTTTGAAATTTTTGTTTTGCTTTCACACCTATGTTTAAATCACATTATATCCTCTCATATTTTCATAATACAATGAAATTAATTATTCAATTAATTGATCAACAAATTGCGTTCCCTTCATTATCCAACATACTTAAATTTGAAAATTTTAAACAAACTTACAAACAAACAAAAACTATAATCACCACTATCATTACTTAAAAAAAATTAAATTTGGTTTCGGTTTTTTTCAGAAAAAATTTCCATTCGCAACACTTTTTGATAAATAAATCATTATTTTCTTGTTTTTTTTTAATTTTCTTTCTTTTTTTTCTTTTTTTTTTTTGTTTTGTTTTCATATCATACGATGGGGATGGTATTTTTCTTTTTTCCATTTATCTTTTTTTTTCATCTTACTTTTTCATTTGATTTGGANAAAAAAAATTAAATTTGGTTTCGGTTTTTTTCAGAAAAAATTTCCATTCGCAACCCTTTTTGATAAATAAATCATTTTTTTCTTGTTTTTTTTTAATTTTCTTTCTTTTTTTTCTTTTTTTTTTTTTTTGTTTTGTTTTCATATCATACGATGGTGATGGTATTTTTCTTATTTCCATTTATCTTTTTTTTTCATCTTACTTTTTCATTTGATTTGGAATTTTTTTTCTTCCTTTTTTGTGTTTGCATCTATATTTGAACAAAAAAAAAAAGATTTTTACATCTCCAAATGATTGATGTTCTAGCATGTTCTTTTTCTGTTTTGTTTTTTTTCTTTCGTTTTTTTTTCAAACAACAACACTGGAAACAATTATAGTAAACCATTTCTTATTAAACTGATTGAGATTATATTCCTATATTCCCAATACAATATGATTTGACATTGATTTATTAATTATTTGATTGATATGTGTTCCTGTTCATTGTGATTCATATAATGATATAGTCATTGTCGACAACGATGACGACCACCATAAGCGGAAATACAAATATTACTGGTCAACAACAACAACAACAATCAAACACAACAAATTATATTCTAACATCACAACAACATTTACCAACATCGATAAAAGCTCTTACTGCAACAACAACTACATCAACATCCGGTACAAGTCAACAACAACATTTTATTGCCGTATCATCGAATGATTCATCAGTGAATGCGACAACTATAAAATTACTGCCAACATCAGCTGGAACAATTGCCATACAACAACAGCAACAAACTGGACAACAACATCAACAACAAGGAACTTTATCTTCCATAAATCTTTCACAAAATGCTCAGATAACTCATACACCAAAAGGACATATCATCATTAGTGGACATGGTAGTGCTGCTGGTAGTGGTGGTCCTAATTCAACAACAATATCTGCATCGCCTACATTGTTACATCAAGTGGTTAGTAGTAATCAATCGACAACAAATGCTAATCAAACTTTGACATTTGCCATTCGAACTGCGGCTACTGGTCATTCGCCATCATCATCATCGTCATCATCACCATCATCACAATCAAACACTGTTCATTTGAGTACGTTAACATTGAAGAATCCATCATCATCGACAACAACTGGGAGTGGGATTGGTATTCAACAAGTTACCGTACCAAGTACTAGTCAACAGCAAACATCCGCTTTAGTGGCAGCATTATCACAATCATCATCACATGATCAACATCAACAACAAGGAACAACAACAGTATCAGCAAATAATGCCGCAATTCTTCGTAGCCTAGCTTCATCGAATGTTTCAGCCAAAGCTATACCAATTGTTTTAATGCAATCTTCAAATCCACAGAATTCCAATATAATTGCTCAAACAACTTCTGGAACAGCCGTATCATTGATTAATATTGGTCAACATACAGCCATTGCTTCGAACAATCAACAACAATCACAACGACATATTGTTTCGAATAAAATAACGACAGCAACACAAACATCAGGCGCTACATTAGGTTCGATTCTAAGCGCTGCAGCTAAACAAGCTGATTCACAACAACTTCAATATTCAAACGTAACAACAATGTCATCATCATCATCGACAAATCAGATTTCAACCATATCGACTACGGCTAAACCAAATGACTCACCATTGATTGAAGCGTTAATGTCCTCATTAAAATCAACATCGACATCGCAATCGAAAGATTCCAACATCAGCGATAAAGATTCAAATGAATGATTCAAATTCGATCATCAATATTGATTGATTTTATTAGAATTGAATTTGTAATAAAATTTATTCATATTATTCAAATTACTTTTTTTTCTTCATTTTTTTACAATTTCGATTCGTTTTTTTTTGTATCAGAATTCAATTATTCGCTGTATTTGATCTCTTTTCATTTTTTTTCTCGATACATGCATACCTCATACACACACACAAATACATTTTACAAATAGAATTAAATTTTGTTTGCGAAAAATTTTATTAAAAATAAAATACGAAAAAAATAAAAACATTCAATCATGTTTCATTTTTTTATTAAATGATGATTGTCGTCGTTGACGTTCATCATAATTTTGTCGTTTTCGTTGCAATCGGTCATTTTCACGATTTTGTTTTTTCTGGTTTTTTATGATTAAATCATATAATTTCTTACGTTTCTTTGGCATCATCATTACACGTAAACGTTTTTCTTCATCTTGTTTCTGTTTTGTTTGTTTAAATCGATCTATTTCAATTGGTTTACTTTTTTTCACCATCATTTCAGGTTCCTGTTTTTTGTTTTCATCATCATCAATTTGGTTTGATTGTTCATCATCAACATTATCATCGTCATCATCATTGGACATATGATCATTTTCATCTTCTTCAACGTTGATACGTTTAGAATTTTCAAACATTTCTTTTTCGGGTGGAATATAATCACCAGATTTTTCCTCAACAAATGGACTTAAATGTGGTGGAAGTTTAGTACCGATAAAATAATTTTGAACCGGTAATAACTTTCGAGAATTAATCGAATCAAAAACCCATTGTGGTTGAATATAATATCGATTAACGAAACGTTTAGGAATTTCACGATCAACAATTTGATGCGTAATTTGTTCATCATTTTCATCGAATGTAGCACCAGAGAATAGATTTCGATCCCAAGAAACTTGTCCAGAGAATGATCGTATGACAAAACAGAGTGCTTCACGTGGTACCTCACGATTTATGAAGAATTTTAATCCGGCAAATAAATTCTGTAGTTTTTGAAGCTGATGAAATGTCATCACTGATGAACCGAATTTGATCTCTTCATCATCATTACCTAATTCTGTTTCAAAATTATCAATTTTTGCTTGTTCATCAAGGATTTGATTATCTTGATTGATTAAAGGAAGATTCAATGCTGCAATAGTGTCATCCGAATCATATTCATTCTCATTTTCATCTTCATCATCCACTTCATCTTCATATTTCTTTTCTTTGATTTTTTTAGTTTCAAAAAATTTTGGTGGATATATGAATGAATTTGAAACATAAAGTTTATAGATTATAAAACCTAAAAGTGTTACGTAAAATTCTGTGAAAGTTTTCATCACTTGAAAATCCACGTCCGGAACTCGATTCATTACGAATTGATGTGGGACAACCCAACGAATAGTTTGACCCATAATATTCGCCTCGTAATAATAGCCTTTGATTGAGATGAAACATTTTCGCAAAGATTTCGTTTCCATCACGTAATACATGAATTCCAGTGTTAAACGGCGACTTAATTCAATCAATTCAAGTGGTAGGGATTTAGATTTGCCGAACATCGCATACAAGAAACACATTGATAAAGCATCGTCCATATCACGAAGAGCATCAATCAATGTTGGATAACGTTCTTTTACAATATGATCCAATTTATAAAATGGTTTATTTTCACGTATTCGTTGTACCCATTCATTGTCTCGGCGACCTTTTGCTTTGGCCATACGTTTCATGAATATCTGAATAATTAAAAAAATTAAGAATTTCATATCATCAATGAATTTGATCAAAAACTACAAACTTTGAAATCCCAAAATCTCCATATGATTGGTTCATGGCTTAGATATAAGATATCTTTTCGAAGATAATAGGTTTTAGCTTGCGAAGTATTCCCGGATTTTTTCTTTTTTGCTTCGACTGGATATACTCCTTTCAGTATGCATAAACGACTAGAAAAAAGACATTAAGATTTTTTCGTATTTTTTATGAACATATATTCATCACAAACTTACCGGAAATCTTTTAATGATAATTGCAACTTTTGTAAAGCTTCACCACGTGTCATATAAGCGATTGGACGTTTCTTTAACGCTTTTTTACCTTTAATGTTACGAGCCATTGTGAAGATTCAAAAATAATTTGATTCAAGAACTTTAACTATCTTAAAGAACTACAAGCAAACGCTGAACACGTGTTTGATAGTTTGCAGATTCTTTCAGGTGGTAATAGCCGATGGATTTAAATAGTCGAACTTTCTCGTTGGATATCTGTCGAGTGGACTTGGGAAAAAGCGCGCATTTCATTATTTCATCATCATTATCAATTTTTCGTTGAATAATGAGCCCGAAAAAAATTCCCACCAGATTTCTGGTGACACATTCTGATCATTTAAATGATAATGAACTTATTCTCAGATTAGAGTCTACATTTTCTATTAATGATAATGTCGATAAATTTGTATGTATTCTTCGGGATTTTTGGAAAAATTTAACAATCGAACCCAAAGAATTTGTCAATATATATGATCCAAAAATTGAAAATAATTCCACTCTTATTATTGATAACCTAAATGGCTTAATAATTGTTCGACCCGATGTTCTAATCCCGATTACAACATTAATGGCGGCAAGTTTTTGCATGCGAAAAGCGTGGCTTTCACGAATGTTTGAAATAATTGGTGAACCAAATAAAGCATTACTAATTGGTACAATTGTACATGAAATTTTTCAGGAATGTTTCCTTCATCAGCAATATGATGTTTCCCAAATCGAGAACCTATTTCTGAAAATTATTCCTAATCATACATTAGAATTGTATGGTTTGAATATGACTCGTGAAGATTTGATGCAAGAAGTGAAACCATATATACGTTCAATTTCAAATTGGTTTAAAATTTATGTTGGTAATGAATCGAATAATTATAAAAAATTATTCTCCATTCAGCGTTTACATGACGTTGAAAATACTATCTGGTCAACCAAATATGGTTTTATCGGTAAAATTGATTTAAGTCTTGAAGTAATTATTGAAGATAAAAATAATATGACAAAATATTCGAATCTGATTCCATTGGAATTAAAAACCGGTCGCCATTCATTTTCATCATCACATATGGGTCAAGTAATTCTTTATTCATTCATAATGACTGATAAATATGTTAATTATAAATCATCTGGTGGTTATCTTCTTTACCTAAAAGATGACGCAAAAACTGAACATATTCCAACCAATCATAATGTATTCCGTGATTTAATTTTATTACGAAACAAATTCGTCCGCTTCTACGATAAATTGGGCATTATCGATGAAACAAACAAGAAAGATTTAGTCATGAAAGGTCCAGCAACATTAAATTCTGAACGAACTTGTCGCCGATGTGAACATAATCTCGATTGTTCATTGATTTATCGATGTTTCGATCAAAGTCTTTTTGACAATCCTAATGATTCACATTTCTCCTCCACAATTACAGCGCACCTTAAAGGTCGTGAAATGGAATTTTTTTCTAACATGTTGGAATTATTGGAAATTGAACGACAATTTTGTATGGCATCAGAGGAATTTGTTGATTTCTGGAATTTCCGTTCGGAGGAATGTGAAAAATTTGGTATCGGTTTGAGTAAAATGAAAATTAAATTCAAAGATGAACGAACAATCATTTTTCATCGCAATCCAAAAGCGACGATGTTATCATCAAAATTGTTTTCCTTAAATAATGATATCAAAATGAATCTTACTTTATTAGAAGGACGTCGTGCTGTCATTAGCGAAGAGCTTATCAATTCGACAAAAACATTTGAAATTTATGGAAATTTTTGCCGTCAATTATGCATTATGATTGGACAGATTGAATCATTTTCGACTGATACAACGGAGATAATTATCAAATTGGAAAAAGATGCTTGCATAATGAATCCTCAAGCTGTTTATCGTATTGATTTTCTCAAAAACATAAGTAATCGTGCAATGTTAATCAATTTTTCCAATCTTCTTCGATTAATGTATAGTGAAACTGATGATGCTAGAGCACGAGAACTTCGTGAAATAATTATACATGGTCGAATACCGAAATCAAATATGAATGGTTATAAATTTGGTACCTATAATCAGCTATACAATTCACCAATATTATCGGGATTGAATATACAACAAAAACGTTGCATTCTAGGCATATTAAAAACTAAATGTTCTCTAATATTCGGAAGTCCAGGATCGGGAAAAACTCAAACTATTGTCTCTTTGATTCAGATTCTTGTGGAACATGGATATTCCATACTGGTCACTAGTTATACACATGTTGCCGTTGATAATATTCTAATGAAACTAGTGCGATTTAATGATGAAAATGATAAGAATGTTGATTTTGTTCGAATGGGACCGACATTACGAATCAATCCACAATTGTTGAAATATTCAGATCATGATCGAACAAAAAAATGGTTGGAAACAGAAAATATCACCGCATTGAATCATTTTTATTCAACTATACCGGTCGTAGCAGCTACCTGTTTAGGTGTGTTCAATCATCCATTGTTTCAGAAACGAACATTCGATTTTTGTATTATCGATGAAGCAAGTCAAGTATTTTTATGTACGTCTTTGGGCCCATTATTTAATTGTCATAATTTTGTATTGGTTGGTGATCAAAAACAATTACCACCTGTTGTACAAAGCCCATATGCACGACAGAATGGTCTAGATGAAAGTCTGTTCTCACGATTGTTGAACACATCAGGTAAACAAGATATTGGTCATTATGATGATAATAATGAATTAGATGTTGAAAAAGATAATAAATCTGATCAATCGATTCGAATCTTTCCATTATTTATTCAATATCGTATGAATTCTGTGATAATGCAAGTGGCTAATAAATTAACATATGATAATCAATTGAAATGTGCTAATAAACAAGTTGAAACAATATCATTATCAGATTATCTATTGATTAATGACAAATCTAATCGCATAATTGAAGAACATCGATCATCATATCTATCTAAAATAATTAGTCCTGATCTAAATGATTCTGTTATATTTATCGATACAAGCTCAATTGAATCGGCATTTGAAACATCCGATGATGATAATAGTGGTTGTAACAATTTTTCTCATCAACGATCACTATCATTGATTATTAATGAAAATGATTCATCCACAACAAATAATGATAATACAAAATGTAGTTTTGTCATTAATAAATTCGAAGCTCGATTGATATTACATATTGTTCGAACATTATTAATGATTTACAGTAATAATAATAATGATAAAAATGTTGCAAATTTTAATGTCGACAATATCGGTATCATTTCACCATTTCGACGACAAGTGAATAAAATTCGTGAACTATTTGGACAACAATTTCTGGAACAAAATCATTTAGAAATTAATACTGTGGATCAATATCAAGGTCGTGATAAGGATGTTATCATTTATTCATGTGTCAAAAGCTGTTCGTCCGGTGAAACAATTAATCCAAATGAAACACAACCAATTATTGATTCGGAATTATTAAAAGATGAACGTCGTTTGAATGTAGCTGTTACACGTGCTAAACGCAAATTAATCATAATTGGTAATTGTCAAACATTGAAACGTTATCTACCATTTCGTAATCTGTTCAATGTTCTTGAATCAGAACAATTTATTCAATTAATTAATTTTGATTTTAATGATATTGTTTAATTTTTTTTTTAATTTTGAAACAAATTGTTTTTTTTCAAGAAAATTTTGCAATTTCATCAATTCGATTAAACAATAAATCTCAATTATGCAATATATTCGACTACAAATTGATTTCTTTGCGCTTCGCTTTATGTTTTGCGTAGGAAATTATTTTCTTAGTATATTTTTGAATGATTTCGTTATGGAATGGATCGATAGTTTTGATTAGTTCTCTATTCATATTCAATGTATTTCTTTATTATTATGAACTTGGTATGAAAGAATTTGCAAACGATTATGATTGATTAATTATTGAATATTTCATTTTGATAGAACAAAAAAATTGCCGTAACGATGCTTGTATAAATTTAACAAACGAAATTTTTAATTCAATTGATTATTCTGTGAATCCATGTGATGATTTTTATCAATTTGTTTGCGGAAATTGGATTCGACACGTACAGATTCCATCAGAACTAGATTTAATTGATCCAATGGTCATAGTGAAATTAAATGTCGAACAACAACTTGGTTATGTATTGGATAATTCTTGGGATATACAACAAAATCAAATTAATCGAAAAATCATCAAATCCAATTCATTAGCTGTCGAATGGGCAGTAAAACTTTATCAGCTTTGCAAGAATACACCACCACCGAAATATTCAAAGTCTTTTGAGAAAAAGTTTTATGAAAAATGGTCAAAACTCGAATTACCGAATGAATTGAATTGGCCAATTGTTAAAAAAAGAGATAGAAAACTTCTCAATCAATATTTTGATGATAATTGGATCGAAATCTATGCAATTTTTTATTATGAATTCGGATTTGGTCCAATTTTCGAATTTGAAGTGAGTGAAATAGAATGGGATAGAGATTCTGTCATCGTAAGCAAATGAAAAATGATTAAAATTTTATATGTAAGACATTTATTGGAATTTTGTTTTTAAAAAATAGTTTTGTTTCAATCGATTCATATTAGAAACATCAAACGATCAACAGCGATTTAATGACCGACCTAAGGAATTATTAAAAATTATTAAAACATTTTATCCTTCAATTAACATATCGGATGAAGTTATTTATCAGGCAATAATGGAAGTCATACAAATGGAAAAATCAATACTTTCTGCCATTAACGATGAAATTGATGATACTGAACTTTATAGGATACAATTAAAAAATTTGTATAATAGAACAGAGCCAGGAAATATGACAAAATTTTTAAATAAATTAACTTTATATAGTCAACAAATTAAAACCAACATAAGCACTCAACAATGGACGGATGAAGATTTTGTGGGTATTGAAAAAATATTTTCATTTGTTACAATATTTGAATATATTGCTGAAAATTCAAAACATATTCTTTATAATTTTTTATGGATAAAAGCAATGGAATATTCATTAGAAAAATTATTACCAAAAACAGCGGATGAATGTTTTGAAATTATGTATGATGATAAATATGAATTACAATTTGCATTGGCACGTATATGGATTGATGAATGGCTAAAAATTGGTTCGAAATTGAAAACAATTGAAATGATCAACTATTTGAAACAAGCTGCTATACAATCAATAAAAACGAATAAATGGCTTGACAAACAAACCAAAAATCGTGTTATAGATAAAATTCGAGCTATTGTTGATGATGTTGCCTTTCCCGAATGGATCCTAATGGATGATGAACTTGATGCATATTTTGGAATGTTTGGTTTATTAAAATATCAAATTCCTGACAATTATTTCGACGCATTTATTCAAATGAAGCAACTTATTACGACAGAAATTTTACTTCGCACTAAAGAACGATCCAGTTGGAAATTTGCGTAATTTTTTTTTTTTTTTTTTTTTTTTTTTTTTTTTTTTTTTTTTTA